GGGGGGGGGGGGGGGGGGTGGGTGGGGGGGGGGGTGGGTGGGGGGTGGGGGGATGGTTGGCTGTGCGGGGTGGTTGGGGGTTGGTGTACCTGTAGGACTTGTAGGACATGTAGAACAATAAGGACTTAACAATGCATAAGGATTTTGAAATTGAGATGTTAATTTGTAGAATTACATGAAAAATATCTAGTGAAATATCTAAGTGGTTCAGCCTAACCAGTCAATGTTGTGAATTCTGCAGGATTCTGAAATGCTGACTGTTAGCTTTTCTCCCTTTTGTACCATTCCCTTTGCAAGACCAGTACCCCTTCTAAATGTTGTCTTTTATATATTTTTTTTAAAAATTCCAGCTATTGTATAGAATATTTTCATTTAAGTATTCAATGCTGATGAGGCAACTGCTGCAGTTTTAGACCTGACACTGGGCACCTTAACTGACATGACATCCTGTGCTAATATGATTCCAGCATGTTCAAAAATTGGGAGAGTGTTCATCCAGCTAAGTTTTCCTAATGAGATTGGCACTTCAAACAAAACAGATAGAGAGTCAAGAAAAACAAATGATTTAACTCATTGTAGAAGTGTCTTGTCACTGAGTTCCTCTCTCTTCCTGTAACATTATAGACTCTAAATACTCAGAAATGTAGTGCGTTGTTTCATACCTTCAGCTTTAATTGTCTTAATATTTCTTTTGCTTGGGGTCACCCTTGCTGTATAAGTCACCTTCACATTAACAACGATGTGCTAATAGGCACTCTTACAGAAAGTCCGTAGACTTCACAGAAGTTGATGTAAGGAGGAGGTTTGAACACCTGGGTTCAGAGAAATTGCTCAAAATGTTGCTGGCTTGGCTTTGTTGTTGACCATTACCTAACCTTCCCCCTACAGTACTGGAATGACCTCTTGTGAATGCAGGAATCTAATGATTAAAGTTCTTTTGCAGGTTTCCAGTCTCTCAACCATACATGCCTGGTAGTCATCCGATGCCATATCAACAATATGCACCCCTGCACAGTACCGCACAACAGTTACCAAATCAAATGGCAGCGATGCAGATCAGTGGTTCTACAAATAATGCACCACCACCTGCCAGTCAGAGTTACGGTAAGTGATGTTAAACTGCTAGGATTGTGTATAGTTGAATTTGTCTTCATAGACCAAATTGTTCATGCTTGATTTATCTAAAAACCTACATTCCAAAAACTCTCATCACATAAGCTCACGACAAGAAATGGGCTATTCATCCCAAACGCTTAATATAAGTGCACCCAATGAGTCAATTCCAACCATACTTCATCTCGCCATCCTTTACAAAAGGCTGACTTAGAAATAGGTTGCAATGTTCCAAAGCTGGAATTTCCTCTGACGAAGTCCAGCCCACAAATGGATTAATTTACAATCTCAATTGTTTCCCAAATCTGCCCTCAAATTTTTAGAAAAATTCACTTATCTGTTTCTCTCACTTCCCTCAAGTTGCTAGTTATTTCTCAATCATGACCCTTTTAAATATTTCTCATGAGTTTAATCTCATTCTTCACACTGTTTAAGAAGCAGATCTGTGTCTATGCCATTTTACAGTCACCTGTATAGAAGCAATAGACAAGGATCTGCTCCCCAATGGAAAAATTCACCCATTGATATAGTCTGTCTCTTAGGACTGCGAGCGCACAGGTTCAAGAGTATCCAAAGGTTTGTCTGTATGAAGCACTGTTTGTGGGAGTGTTATGGCTGGATTCACATTTCAGCTTTTTCTCCACATTAAAGAACACACATTTCTCATTGTACCTTATCCCTAGGTAGTAATGGTCTGGCAGAGATCAGGGCTTCATGGACATGAGTGGCACACACTCGGCAACTGGTGTTTGTCTCGTGCTCATTGTTATGACGTTGAACTATAGAGAGAGGATTAGTGTGTTTTGGAGTTCAGTTGTTACTTGAGAGCTCACAAGAAAATATTTGTGTATGAATTCACTATCACCACTTGAAAGCCTTCTTTCATCATATGAAAGTCACTTAACTGTCAGCTCAAAGCCTCCTAACCAGTTCCTTCATTGGTGAGATTTTACTCCCTCCCCATAATAATGTGATTTCTTGAAATTTTGACTATGTAATTTTTTTTAAATCTGTTATGGTTTCTTTTCCAACTCCCATGTTGTTTTTTCTGGTATTCCCCAAGAATCTTAAACTTTGTTTTCAATTTCTTACCTTTGTGGAGTCTAGAGAGAGGAGGTGCCCATTTAGGACTGCAAGCTGTTCTGTAGTTCAGTTAGATCACGAATGATCTTCATTCTGATAATTTCATGAACCTGCCTTTTTTTATATCCTTTAATACCTTTAGTTAACAATAATCTATCAATCTCTCATTCAAAATACACAATTTAGACCATCTAGAAGTTGCAAGTCAGGAGTGTGATGGAATACATCCCACTTGCCTGAATGGGTGCAGCTGCAACAACACTCAAGAAGCTTGACATCATTCAGGACAAAGCAGCCCACTTGATTGGCACCACATTGACAAACATCCACTCTCTCCAACACTGACGCTCACTACCAGCTGGGTGTGCCATCTGCTAAGATATACTGCAGAAATTCACTAAAGATCCTCAGATAGCTCCTTCCAAACCCATGACTTCTTTCATCTAGAAGGGCAAGAGCAGCAGATACATGGAAACACCACCTTCAAATTCCCACCTAAGCCACTCACCAGCCTGACTTGTAAATTTATCACTATTCCTTCGCTGTCGCTGGGTTAAAATCCTAGAATTCCTTCCCAAGGGCATTGTGGGTCACCCTACAATATGAGGACTACAGCGGCTCAAGAAGGCAGCTCACCACCACCTTCTCAAGGACAACTTGGGACAGGCAGTAAAAATACTGGCCAACCAGTGATGTCCACATCCCACAAGTGAATAAAAAAAATCTAGTTTTAGTTGAGGTTTGTGCCAACGTTTCAAACTTGCAAACTTCATGTGTAGAAATGGTTCCACACTTCTCTTCTGAAATGTTGGGTTCTTAATTTTTAGGCACTGCCCTTTCACGTGAGACTCCCCAATGAGTTGCAATAGTTTGGCTCTAATCTATCAGTTTTCCCTTAATACCTTGAAGTTAGATTATGTCCTCCCCTAACTTTCTAAATTCCAGGGTATATAACTCTAATTTGTGGTATCTCGCGTTATAATTCGGTAATTGGAGTTTGACTAATCAGTGCTGCACAGGTGATTGTCTTCAAAAATTCTATAGATTCTGGAGTGCGTCCTGCAGATTGGAAGGTATCAAATGTCACCCCACTATTTAAGAATACAGCAAGGAAGAAAACCGGGAATTACAGATTCTTATGTCTTCGATCAGTCGAGGGAGATGTGGGCAAGAATGTGACAGATGGAATATAATGTGAAAAAATGTGAGGCTATACACTTTTTGGTCAAGGGAACAGGTGTTCAGAGTGTTTCTTAAATGGTGAGCGGTTGGAAAGTGTACGTGTGCAAAGGGACCTGGGTAACCTCGGTAATAAGTCACCGAAGGCTAACATGCAGGTGCAGCAAGCTATTAGGAAGGCTAATGAATGTTACTGATTATTGCAAGAGAATTTGACTACAGGAATGGTGAAGCCTTTGTTCAATTGTAATAGCTTAGTTTTGGTCTCTTTATCTCAGGGAAGATGTTGCCATAGAGGGAGTGTAACAAATGTTCACCAGGTTTGTGATCAGGAGGATGGACTGTTCAATGAAGAGAGATTGGGCAAACTGTGTGTATTCTCTAGAGTTTGGAAGAATGAGAAGTGATCTCATTGTAATGTACCAAGTATTAAAGGAATAGACATGGTTGTTGCAGGAAAGATGTTTCTCTAGGGAGTCTAGAACCAGGGACACAATTTTAAAAATAAGTGGGGTACTATTTAGGATGAGATGAGAAATGATTTTACCTTGCATGTTGAGGATCTTTGGAATTCTCTACCCTAGATGGCTGTGGAAGCTCGGTCATTGGAGATGTACTTAAAGCAGAGCTTGCTAGATTTCTGATTACCGATGACTTTATAGATGGTGTGCGTAAAAGGTATTGAAGTGTTCAATCAGCCTCAATTGGATTTAAATGGTGGAGCAAGCTCAACAGGCTGATTAATCCCCTCAAGCCTATTTTGCCATTTAATATGGTCACAACTATCTGTTTCAAATTGCAGATTTCCATCCATCCATCCCGATAACCCTCAGTTTCCCCTGTCAAACAAGAATCTATCCGCTGCTGCTTTGAAAAATATTCAGTGACCCTGCCTCAGCACTTTCTGACGCAGAGTTCCAAAGTTGCATAGCTGGCTTGAATAAAACATCCTCATCTCTGTCCTAAAACAGCGACATTTAATTTTAAAACAGTACTCCCCTAATTATTGGTACAATGAGCAATTTCTGCTACATTATCAGGCTTCAAATTCTGCTCAAAATACACACATTGCTGTTTCTTGGCTAAATGCAAGCAATGTGATTTCGCCTAAAGATAGAAGCTGTAAATTACAGAACTATGGAACAATTTCCAATTGTCTTACTACCTGCCTGATTTCAGAATTACTTCTGTGGGATTGCCATTGACAGTAATATCTTTTGTTCACAGGGCCACCAGCTTCTCATCATCAAACAGCACCAAGTTTTCCGCCCACCGGTCTAGGATCGTACACGCAATATCCTACTCCACTACAGAATATTCCCTCAAGCGTGCCTCAGGGTGGTAACCCTCCCCAACATCCCTTTCCTGGGCAACCAGTCCCAGTGTCAACCTTCACCTCGCCTCCCACATCTACAGGTTTGACTGGCTCAGCTCTCCCTCCTCCACCTGGGGTGCCAAGACCCCCAGCAATGCATGGACCACCACTGTCTGGACAGCCTCAGACAGGCCTTCCCCCATCCCAGCCTCCGACTGGACATTACCCACCCCAACTGAATCACAGACCCACAGGTCCTCAGTCTGGTATGCCAGGAGTAGTGACTGGTCCACCAACTCAGGGCTTTCAAGCGCATCCAACTCAACCTAGTCAGGGACTTATACCTCAACAGAATGGTAAGTCTCTATATGCTGAATACTTGCAACAGGGATTGAAGCAGTGGACATAATCTGTCTCGTGTTTTGTGAAAAGTTATAAGGTTGGAACATGTGCTTATTTGAGCCTGCAAAATTTTCATGAATTTTCAAAAGAAAGAACAAATTTAAGTTAGATTTTCCATTCAACACCAAAGTAGTTAAGTTATGCATTTAACAGGGAAAGGTAGGGGATTAAATAGTTCTTGCAACATTTGACTGGATTGTTTGAGAAAATGTGTCTAGAATACTTTGAGAAATAAGTCATATCTATGCAAGTTTTCTGAGATTCTGGTAGTTATCTTCAGCTGCATGTCAGAATAATTGGACCATGGTCAGGAATGCACTAGTGTTAAAGATGGTGATTTTCGTCATAATACAAATGAGCAATCAGATTCCTCTATCCCAACACCGCCTTTTGTTTCACCCATACAGTAATCTGTGTGACTTCATCAAAAATTTAAAGGTACAATGATGACCGTCAAACCATTGTTGATTGTCATGAGTCTCCTTTCAGGAGGGAAACTGCTGTCCTTACCTGGTGTAGTGTACCTGTGACTCCAGGCACACAGCAATGTAGTTAATTCTTAACTGCCCCCTGAAATGGCCAAGCAAATCATTGTCGTAACAGAAAAGAAGAAGAAGAAACTGGGTGGACCACCTGGCATCTACTAAGACACTGATGTCTCGGACATCACCATAACCTGTCCCACTGGCAGGATAGGCCAAGCAGATGTGATGATACGGAAGAGAGTTGCCCTGGGAGTCCTCAGCATTGGCTGCAGCCCCTGTAAAGTCCCCAAGCTGGTTGAGTCGTCAAATGCAAAGCTCATAGACTGAGTCTGACAGGTAGTGAGAGAATCAACAAGAGGGAAAAACATATTGACCCTCATCCTCAACAGTCTGCCTGTCACCGATATAGCTGTTCATGACATTGTTGGTAGGAGAGACCACTCTCAGTGCTTGCCTTGTCTTCACGTTGAGGGTACCCTCTATCATGTTGTAGGGTTGAATCACCTTGATCAATGGAATAAACTTGTGAATACATCAAGCAACTGAAGACTGGCATCTGGGCATTGATGAGGCTGTGTGGCCGTCAGCAGAATTGTACTCCAACACAATCTGCAACCCCATGGCCCAGTATATCCCATGCTCCACAATTACTATCATGCCAGGCAATCAGCCCTGCTTCAATGAAGAGTGCAGAAAGGAATGCCAGGAACAGCACCAGGCACAGCTGAAAATGAAGTGTCAACCTGGTGAAGCTACAACCTGTGTACCAAACAGTGTAAACACAAGGCTAAGCAATTCCACAACCAGTACATCAGATCTAAGCTCTGCAGTGTTGCCACATTTCATTGTAAATAATGATAGATAGTTAAATAATACACTGAAGCAGGTGGTCCCACAAGTACCCTCTCAATGATGGGGGACTCCACAACGGTACAAAAGATCAGGTTGAAGCATTCATAAGTCTCCAGCCAAAAGTAACAAGTCCTGTATAGAGCCCCAGCATTGTAATTGTCAGTCTTCAGCCAATTCTATTCATTCCACGTTATATCAAGAAATGGTTGAAGGCATTGGATATTCCAAAGGCTATGGACCCTGACAACGTTCCAGCAATAGTATTGAAGACTTAAGCTGCACAACTTGCTGTGCCCCTAGTCAAGCTTTTCCAATATAACTGCAACCCTGATATATACCGAACAATATGTAAAAATGCTCATGTGTCCTGTACATATAAGGACAGGTCCAACCTGGACAATTACTGTCAGATCAACCTGCTTTCGATCATTAGTGACGTGGTGGAAGGTGTCATCAACAATGCTATCAAACAGCACTTGCTCAGTAGGGGGTGAGCGATAAATGCTGAACAATTGTATATTGTACATCGCATTTTGCTGATCCATCACTAATTCTCCGAGTATCCCTTGATGTTACGATATATACACATGTTAGCTTTTCTTGATTTGTGATGTCCTTTCAGGTTCTTTTGGACAAGTGAGGTCACCCCAGCCGAACTTTGCTGCACCTTACACTGGAGCACCAAGTTACACCAGTCAACCCCAACCACAACAGAAAAGGCTGGACCCAGATAGCATTCCTAGCCCAGTAAGGACTACAATTTATAGCTGTTGTCTTTCTGACTATTGTGCTCTAATGCTTGTAAAGTTTCTTCAGTGTTTTAAGGAGAAGATGGTGGCTTCGTAGGAACGTCACTGGACGCTTAATCCAGAGGCCCAGGCTAATGCTTTGGGGACATGGGTTCAAATTCCACCATAGCAGCTGATGGAATTTAAATTCAATTTAAATTCAATTTAAATTGGAATCTAAAGCTCGTCTCGTTAATGGTAGCCGTAAAACTATCAGCAGTTGCCAGATAAACCCATCTAGTTTACTAATGTCCTCGAGGGAAGGAAATCTGCCATCCTTACCCGGTCTGACCTACATATGATTCCAGACCCAAAGCAATATGGGTTGACATTTAACTGCTTCAAGGGTGATTTAGGGATGGGCAACAAGTGCTGGGCTTGTCAGCAATGTCTACATCCTGTAAATAAATAAAAAAAAAGTCATTTTCTGCTTATTACAAGGATTTGCTTGCACCTGTCCATTGTTTACAAACTTGAGAGACCTGAAGGTAGTTTTCGTATTTTTTTTTTGCATGTGTTAATGTGAACATGTTTGCACTTCTGGTTGGAGATTTGATTTCACGCAATGCGAAGTATCATGACTGTTTAATTCATTGCATATAACATAGCTTCAAATAACAGTTCCTGCACTGAAAATGTGTTATGCTTGGGGGGACTGTTTGCAGTCACTTCTGCTTCAGCTTGGTGTCCTGAACACTCTACTTGTGGTGGTTGGTACTGTAATTCTGGTAGACAGCAGACTAATCTTTTCCTGGTGCATCAGCTTTTCCATGCTTCAGTCTTCTTTCTGTATGCCAACTCTTAGAATCCTAAATCTTCTCTCCCTTCCTTTCTGGTTGCCTGGGTTGCAGCTTCTTCAAGTCTGTTGCCCCACAGCCAGCCTGGTGCCATGCATCCTGTGATTAGTTGACAATCTCTTCGTTCAGTCGTGATCTCCTGTTAACTCTTTAAGTTCAGTGTTCATTCTCTCCTCTCTCTATCCTTGCTTCTCTCTCCACATGAGAATGGGAACCAGAGAGAAGAGCAGGAACCTGCTTGTGGAATCAGTCAGGCTTGAGAGCAAGTCTGAGCTTGAAGCAGGTGCTCGGTGGTTATCCCTCGTTACAAAAAATACCAACGTTGCTTTAATGCACGTAAGACTCGTAAATCATGGTGATACAATGAGACCATTTTTTACTGTCATTAAGAAAAACTGTTGGAAAATGCAAAATTGCTCAAGTTGGTTAAAGATTATTTTGGGATGTGGGGGAAAGCTAGTGATTAATGCCTGATGTAGAGTTTCGGTCAAGGTAGTGCAGATGAGAATTTGAAACATGTAAATTCTTGGTGAGATGTTAGGATTATACTGGATTGTTGATTGAAATGGTAATCGATGTGATAGCTGTAAGGCTTTTGATTGAAACATTTTATTTGAGACTTATGAAAACAACAGTGATCACCAGCCTTGTGTCTTTTTTTTGGGCCTTCTGTCCAGTTTCTGAGAAAGGTATGGCTGTGTTCTTGATTTGCTTTTGCCCAAAAGTAATATGCTGTCAGTCTCCTCCTGCAAAATTCAACTGACTGATCCTTTTACGGGAATAATAACAAAATTGTATCTACCAAGAATGTGGTTTCAGTAATGAAGTCAGGAGTTGACATGGGATTGTGAAACTCCATTGGAAGTTTTGGGTAGCAGGTAGTAAATGATCAGTTGCAGGTTTTCTTTTGGCATGTAATGCAATCTTGACAGATACTTGGGAGTAAATTCTGGTTAGGGTGCTTGAACTGTTAAAACTTCTAACCTGGGAAGGCACTAGTGAAGTTCCCCTGCTGTAATCACTTTTAAGCAGGTAATATTTAACAATTGTAGATGTTCTGAAGTCTCTGGACAGTTCTGAACTCTCAACTTGGATGTGTTTGGATAATTGGCTTGCAAGACATTGAAAGGGAAACTAAAAAGGGGCATTAAAGCTTGACATCAAATAAGCTTAAACTAAATGCTACTACCTCTCTGTATTTCTGTTTAAAAATTTAACTTCTGTCAGATTTTTGAGTAAACACTATTGGACAGTTCCAGAGTTGAAATGCTAACACTTTGTTTTATATATAAAATTATCATTCTTGCCAGAATACTTTCTAAAAATTCAGCTTTTTAATATTAAAGCTGTGGAAATGTGAACAGGCCTGCATAATGCATTGAAATAAACAGATAACCAGTCTAACTAAATAACACAGCTTGCATGTGCAATGATGTATGTGTAAACGTATGTCAAAGGACTTGCTGATGTGGCACCATTCATGTGGGAAGATAGAAGTAACAACTGTTACTGTTCTGTTTCTCTCCTGTTTTGCTGCTCATTTGTGCCTTTTTAAGCAACTTAATGAACTGCCACCTCAACAGAAAACAAGACATAGAATAGATCCAGATGCAATTCCTAGTCCAGTAAGTCTGCTTGTATGTATGTGTGCTGTTACTTTCTTGATTACTGCCTTTGATTTTCATTCTAAAAGGCATATTGCTGTACATCTGACAAATGTGTGCTGTAAGGTCACAAAATCTTCAGTTTAATTGCACTTTGTCTACACCTTATTTTATAATACCACGTTATTGTGTCAGTTAAATGACTACACAAAGGAGAATTCCTACAGTATAAATCTTTCTGACAGTATCAATAACTTTTGGATTGGTTTCATGTTTGAACAACTTAACCTAGTGATCTACTTTGGTACCTTACAGACAGTGGTAGATAAAATATGATTGCCGAAAATCAGATCTAAACTTGCTTCTTCAGCTTAGTGAACATTTGTGGTCTTAGTTGGTGTCACACATGTAACTATTCTTTTGGCAAACTGTCACTGTGCTTTCTTGTTGCACTTGCATAAATATCCTTTTCAAATAATGCAGATCATTTTAGCTCTTCCGTGTAGTCTTTCTGCCTCCCAAATTATATGCAAGAGCCAGCAACCCTATTGTAATACTTGCTGCCATTGCTTAGTAGAAGACTTAGAACACTGAGTAAAATTAAAGTGGAAGATGTAAATAACTTGAGGCAATATTCAGTCAGTTGCTGTTTCTTAACAACATGTGCCTGCTGAGAAAGCTGCTGGGTCATTTGTGCTTCAATACTGAATTTCAGAATGTAAATTTGACTAGGTCTAATGAATGCAATAAATGGATTTTTTTTACAAATGTTTTCAATTTAATTTAATAGTGCTCAATGAGAACCTCTTAGCCCTTTTGAGAGCACTGTAATTACTCTGCAATCTATAGAGATGTTTTTGATTGAAAAACAGCAAGAGTTATTAATAAGCTACGCTTACGAAATCAATTCAAATTAAACGTTTACACTTTTCCCTCTACTACAAACTTCTACTTCCACTCACTGGAAATTTTTCCCCAGCTTACTTGACACTAACCCATGTGCCTAGCAGCAGCCAGTGAACAGTGTTCAGAGCTTGGAGCCTGCGTTCATTTCTTCCTCTTCTCTAGGCATTATGGAACCATTTGTTGTTCTGTTGCTACTCTGACTGAGGTCAGCTAACTCGGCACAGATGAGAAGTCACACCTGGAATTATCCTGGCCTCTTGCTCAGGATTACAACAGGATTACTTGTTTACTGAATTGCTTCGGGAATTTTAAGTGTTTGTTCAGTCATATGTGACCATAATATCCACTTAGATCCTCTTCCAACAAGCTTTTTAGATATTTCCAAAATTGAAGGACTTGGCTTTGTGTTTTATTGAATGACAATTTGAAATTTATCATATACTCTGACAGATTCAAGTGATTGAAGATGATAAGTCAAACAGAGGAACTGAACCATTCTCGACCGGTGTGCGAGGTCAAGTTCCACCACTTGTTACTACTGACTTTGTGGTAAAAGATCAAGGTAACATCCTTAAGACTCTTTAACATCTTCAATATTTTGCTTTGTGACAACAGCCAAAGCATGTTTTGTCACTGGAGTTGGCTACCTTGATGTTGGCTCCGATTGGCAAGACATTGTCCTGAGAAGACAACCAGAGAATGGCTGTCACCTTTTTTTTTGGTCATGGAGTAGGCACAGTGCATACACCTGTTTGTCTGCAAGAATCATGACCCTGTGGATAATATGTGTGGATCCTAGTTCATGCATGTGTGTCACACTGTAGTCCGATTGACTGACTCTTTTTTTCAGCAAAGGGACCATACATGCATATGCAGGGATATTTTTTCTGCAAACAGAGGATATTTTCAAGCCTCGTGCTGTGTTTGATCTGCCTGAAAGCTGATAATTTCTCATTGCTTTCTCCTTGGTAATGCCTTGACCAGTTAGAGTCAAGTGCCACCCAGTCAGTGCCCTGTTCTGCGTGACAGTTTCCTGTTTGAAATTTGGCATTCTTGTGTTTATCCTGATGAGTACAAAAGAACAAGGGAGGTGGCATAATGGTAATATCACTGGATTAGTAATCCTGAATATTCTGGAGGCCTGATTTCACCATGGCAGATGGTGAAATTTGAATTCAGTAAAGAGATAACCTAATGGTGCTCATGTACTCGCGATTGATGTCATATTAATAAAAATCAATCTGCCTCACAAATGTGTTTTAGGAAGGAAATCTGCTGTCCTTAACTAATCTGGCCTCTATGGCTCCAAATTTATGGCAATTTGGTTGACTCTTCCAAGCAGTTAGGAATGGACAATAAATGACTGCTCAGCCAGCAGTATTAACAGCCCATGAAAGAAGGGGGAAAAAATTGCTTCAACAAAATTTAAGTTCTGTATTACCAAGTAACAGAAGTAGTATTATTTTTAAAAATTATAACTTGTTTGTGCTTGTTTTGCAGGGAATGCAAGTCCTCGATTTATTCGATGTGCAGCTTATAATCTTCCTTGCACTTCAGATATGGCAAAGCAATGCCAAGTTCCCCTTACTGCAGTCATTAAACCACTTGCTACATTACCAGCTGATGAGGTAATTAATGCATTGCATTCTTCCACGTGTTTCAATTTTTTTTTTTGGAAGGATATACTTTTACAGTTGTGTCTTGATTTACTTTCCATCTCTCAGCATGTATGTATATATCAGACCAAAACATGGAGTCTTGTAAGCAAAAATCTGTCAACTTTGAATATCTCACTTGGAGTACGTTTGGGGTCATTGGCTTTGTTTTTGACCTGTTTGACCATTGCATCTCTCCTATTGGTGATATATCTGTGGATTGTTATACACGGTTCTGGGGCCAACCAAGAGAGTGATAGCAACCACTGTGGAGACCTCAAGATTCCATGTATTAATCCTATGCATTTGGGAGTAAGAGCTCCTCTCCCTGCCCAACCTCGGGAATGCAATAATAGTTTAATCCTTTAAGGGAGGAGCGGGATCATGCTGTGGAAACTATCAAGTTATTTCCATCTAATTCATACCAGGGAATATATTGACAAACATCCACTTTCCTGTGGGTGAGGAAATCCTCCGAGAGACAGTGTGGCTTTAACACCTTCCAAAGGAACCTCCAACATTGCCTTTGTTGCCAGACCAACCCAAGACAAAGATCAATATCAACACCAGGAGTTGTTCATTGCATTCGTTGACCCAATGAAAGCATTTCACTTAGGAAATTGCAAATCTGTATTGATTTGTATTTCAAGGATTTGGATGTCCAAGAAATTTTGTCACATCCCTGTAGTTACTTCATGATGATAGGGTAGCAACTTTCCTGATTGGGAGATCTGAAACAGATGCCTTCAAAATCTAAACTAGGGTCAAGCAAGACTGTGAGATGCCACCTGTGTAAACAGTACAGGAGCTATAATGATGTCGTCACCGGGATAGTAATCCAGAATCCCAGGATAATATTTGAATCCCATCATGGCAGATGATAAAGTTTTGCGGTTAAATGAAAATCTGGAACTAAAAGGTAGCCTGATTGTGACCATGCAACCAATGTTGATATTTGTAAAAATCCACCTGCTTCACTCATGTCCTTGTGGGAAGGAAATCTGACATCCTTGTGTGGTCTGGCCTGCGTGTGATTTCAGCCATGCTTCAATGCGCTTGACTCTTAACTGCCTTCTAGGCGATTCAGGATGGGTAATAAATGCCAGCCTAGCCAGCAGCTCCCTCAATCCATTAATTGTTTTGTTTAATCTGTCTGGCGGTGGTTATTTACATTATCAAAGATGGACTGCCCTCCAGTATCAGAACGAAATATCATCCTGATGGAAATGCCTTTAATTTAGTTTTGGCACAGTGGCAATCCAAGTTGAGTAATGTTATGATCCAGTGCTTAGGAATGAATGCAGTGAGGTCTATGGTATATCAGATTTGCAAACTAATCTTGAACTCTTCAATTCTGCATGCTGGAAACTTGGTCTGTCTCTGAATGTTGCCAGTCAAAACTCTAAACCAGTCCTAGTCTCTCAAAAGGCTACCATTGGCAAAGAAGTGCAATACCAGATTGAATGCAGTAGTTCTGCCTTCTACAATCTGTAGCAGCGTGTGTTTGAAACTAAAACTTCCACACACTAACAAAAGCTGTCATGTATGGAGTAGTTGTCACCACACTCCTGTATGAAAGTAAAATCTGGACACTGTCTGCGGCACCTAAGTGTGTTGGAGAAATTGCATCAGCAATGCCTCCACTAAATCCTTTGGATTCAAAATGCAAAAATGCTTCACTGTGATTTGGATAAGTTGAGTGGGCAAATACATGATAGGTTAAATATAGTGTGGATTAATGTGAGATTATCCATTTTGGGAAGGAAGACAGACAGATTATTATCTGGATGGCAATAGATCGGGAAAGGGGAGATGCAGCAAGATCTGGATGTCCTCCTCAGCCTGCTGCTACTTGCATGCTTGCTCTCAGGGACTGGTGTAGAAGGCAACTGGTATGTTGGCCTTCATAGAGGATTTGAATACAGGAGCTGTAGTATCTTACTGCAATGGTACTGGACCTTGGTGAGAACACATCGGAGTATTGACTGCAGTTTTGGTTTCCTTATCTGAGGAGGGATGTTCTGGCTATAAATATACAGAGGAAATTATTTTTCTCCCTGCTTTTTTTCTTTCCACATCTCCTTTATTCGATCTGTGTGTTCCTTTCTATCTATTTCTCTCCCCGACTGCTTCTCCACTTTTATCCTTCCCACGTTCTTCTGTTCTTTCCTCCCTTCCCTTTCACCTCTTATCTGACCCACTCTCTCTAACCTCCGCTAAAGCAGGCAGCAGTGGATTGTTTTAGTGAGGTGATAGGGTATCCTCCTATTCTGTCACATTCTGAGCTGCTCATTCCACCTCTCCAAGTTAGCTGAAATAAGACATGGTACTGAATTTGTCACATTTTGCATTATTCCACAACATGCCTATGCAATTTGATTTGATTGCAGGCAGTTGCCAACATGTAGAATTACATTCTGTATGGTTGCAAGAAGTTTGTGTCTGCGAAAACCATTATAAATTTAACTACCTTTTCATCAGGTTTGTATGTAATGGAAAATTAGCGCATAAACTGAGTCTCTGAAACATGTTTCTCTGAAATTAAAAATTGTGCATTGGGCCCAATGGTTTTCATTATTAAAGTTGTAACTGGCCACTTTTGCTGTCAAGTTCAATCGAGTGATGGTTCCTTTGCTGTCCATGTCACTGTGCTCAAGCAGTAAATAGAACTTGCCTCTTTTCACATTAACAAAGTTTTATCTAGTTGAAGTATTTTGTGACAATAGTTCCATTTTGTCTGGTGCAGCTGTTGAGATAAATCCAAAAACTGTAAGTGATACCAGGCTCTGGAGGTTGTATCAGCACATTTTGATTTAGACGTTTCAAATTCCTGGGTCATGCACTTGTGAGATGTGGTTTATGCAATCTGTGTGGATTGCATTTTTCTCTTGCTGGAATTAGGAAGAAATCTTGGGTTGGCATGCATGAAGGATTACACTCTCTATGTTTCCAGTACAGGACGTGTGAAATTGTTTGATGCCAGTCATTAACTGCTGTTATAAAAACTCAGTCATACGCTGTCCACGAATATGCCAATTACTTTGAGGCACCAGTTTAGAAGGAACTAGATTAATGGCATTGTGACTTTGAAAGTATCCACTTCTCTGTCCTTGTTTGAAAGAAATTGGTCACTGAAGAATGCAAAGTCTGTTCTTGTTAAACGATGACCACAATCACAATTCATAGGTTTTAAACTGGTCAAAGGTAGATTGAGGGTCAACTCTTGTCTGAGTATGCTCCAATGAAGCATATTGGAATATTTTACTCCTTCAACGGCATTCTATAAATGCCTGTTGTTTCATAGAGTTTGGTGAGTTCTCTGTGAAAAGCATCGTGGACTCAATACCAGTATTTGATTTTCAATCATTACATTTTTGACCCTGCTTACAGTGTTGGACAAGAGTAACTAGTGACTATTTCCCAATGAAATTGTGCACAACTATGCATTATCTGTCTTGTTATACTGTCATTGTATGCTATCACATGTCATAACTGTGTTTATTATAACAGTTCAGTTTGCTGGCTGCTCATCCTTTCTCCAAATCAGTAATGCTATTTTGTCTGATTATAACCTGACCACGTTTATCCCAGGTTCATGTGAGAATGTATTATAAGTGGAAATAGCAGAGAGAATAGCTTAAAGGACCAACATTGACAAACAAACAATTAACTTAGGGTGACACAGTACTAAAATCAGTTTGGAGCATGACTGGTAACTTGAAGCACAAAATGGTTCACTGTCAACTCTGGAGCATTGTGTTACTCCCAAGTGTATGTTGATCACTCCGTTCTGTTAAATAGAAGAGAGCGAAGGGTTCTGGCACCTCTGAAGGAGAAATTCTGTAATCTGGCAAATGCTGTTTTGGTTTGAAAGGATGGAATTTTCTAATTGTTCTTTGCATAAATGGGGAAAATCACTGTGTTGGAGTCTGTAGTTAAAAGGTTCATGCCTACTGACCACAGCTTGCAAACCTTACATTACTCAGTTAATCTTACTCTCTGCTTTCTGCCTGTTAATGTTGTAGTCATAGATGTGATAATGTAATTGAGTCATCGATGTATGCAGCATGCAAACAGGCCCTTCAGCCCAACTTGTTCATGCTGACCAGGTTTCCTAAACTGAACTAGTCCCATTTGCCAGCATTTGGCCCACATTTCTCTAAACCTTTCCAATCCATGCACCTGTCCAAATGTCTTTTAAACGTTGTAATTGTACCTGCCTCTACCACTTCCTCTGGCAACTTGTTCAGTATACGCACCATCCACTCTCTGAAAAAGTTGCCCTTCAGGCCCCCTTTAAAGCCTTCCCCTCTCACCTTAAACCTTGGAGTCTTAGCCAGAGCAAAGTAACCTTAATCTAAACAATACAAGGTGGGATTCTGATCTAAAAGATTCAAGTTCTCAGTGGCCATAAAACAAACCAGGCCTTGATGCTTTGTAGATGACCTGTTCCAATCTGTGATTCTATTTTCCTTGAAAACTCTTCTTTTATACTATAAACCACAGTCTCCCTATAATCTTGTTTGATCGACTCAGTGAATTAATATTTTTCTAGCTGTAGAATTTTTCTGACCAAAAAAGATACTTTTCAAGACTCATTTTCAAAAAGCACTAGTTCTCCTTTAGGTTAGAAACTGAATTAACCTGAGGATAGCACAAATTTTACAATATGAGCTTTTTCAAAAAAAAAAGCAAGTAGAATACTGAGATGACCTGAATGAAATCTTTAACCCAGGTTCCAAACATTTAAATACTTTGAAACCGTAATTTTACTATGTCCATAAAATACCATGGATTAACTGCATAAATATGTATTTAAGGGCGATACTTGCACATAATTGGCATCAATGTTTTAAGTTCAAAGATACAGTTCTAGGGATTATACGTGCTTTATAAGCCCAACATGGAATCAAGCAGGCAATGCAGGCAGTGTTGCCAAAATGATGCCCAGATGTTTAAGACCAGCCCAAAGAGCACAGGCTGCACATAGGAACCAAAGAATAGAAATAGGTCATCCTGCAACAGTACTGGAAGTTCACATATTTACTTGGCATATAAGTCAAGATTTACCCCCACTTTTTGAAGGATTTTTTTTTTTGAAGCTTCAAAGGTTGACTTAGACATCTCGAGTTCATGTGCGTGTATTGTTAAATTGGTAACTATTAAAACTAAATACTTGCAAGTCAATTCCTTGTAGGTCCAGACATTAAGATTTCTGCTCTGTGTAAATCTGCATGGCCTTCTCATAATATTGTTGGAATTCTTCCATCAGTTTGCATCGCTTATGTACCACTTCCTTGGAAGCCTTATCATTGGACTAGTAATCCAGAACCCCATGTTCTTGGGCCTTGGGTTCAAATCCCACCATGGCAGATGAAGACGTTTGGTTTTTAAAAAATCAGGAATAAAATACCAGACAGTGGCACTGTCAATTAATGTAAAAAACCCTTCTGGTTCACTAATATCCTTTACAGAAGACATTAAAGCTACCATCCCACTTGGTCTGACCTACATTTGACTCCACATCCACAAATTGGCCCCTTTAACTGCCCGATGGGCAATAGGAGATGAGCAATAAATGCTGGACTAGCTTCTATTGCAAGAGGTTTTGAGTACAGAAGTGCTGAAAGTTTGCTTCTGCTGTACCTTGGGTTGGAATGACCGGCCCTATCAAAAGAGGTTGGGTAAACTGGGCAAAGTACTCTGGAGTTTCAAAGAATGACAAGCGACCTCACCAAAACCCAAAATAATTAAAGAAATAGACAGGATTGATACAGATAAGATGTTTCCCGTGGAAGTACAATTCTAAAATAAGGGAGAAACAATTTAGATCCAAGATGAGTTATTTCCCCTCAAGTGTTGTAAAATTGTTTTACAAAACAAAATTAGCCCATTTTCATTGAATAATACTAGATCTAAAATAGCTTTTACCCAAGTTAGTTGCTCAACATATTACTACATAATGTCAAACACATTCCAGGAATTCTTAGCATCAGGCTTCATTCAGTTTACCAAGTCTCTGTGTAGATTGAAGTCACCCATAATTGCTGTGTTCCCATTACTACATTACTTTAATGTTTTATAGCATGTCCTGTATTACACCTACTATACACCTACACTCGTTATAAACCACTCCTACCATTATCCATTACCCCATTCTGTCTATTACTCCATCCAAACATCGTTCGGTCTAAGACCCTTTCCCACTAATACTAATCCCATCCCTTATTATCAACACTACTCAATTTCTTGTTCCATTCTACCTATCCCTGCTAAGTATGGAATATCTTTTAATCTTCGGTTCCCAGTCTTGGTCACCCTGCAGCCATGTCTCCTTAATGGTAATTAAATCATTTACTTTACTCCTAGCATCATTAATTGACCTAATTTGTTGTCAATGCTATGTATCTTGAATGCTTTTAATTCTGCCTTTTTAACACAATTTTCCAGTTTTAGCCTGGTTGATTCTAGGATTTGCTTCTGCAGTTGTTCACCTTTTATCTATAGCTTTTCTACTTCCCATAACCAGCTTTCTTTTGAATCTCTCTGAATTCTCTCTTCCATTTTCATTCCCCCGACAAACTAGTTTAAACTCTCCCATCAGTACTCGTGAATCTCCTCCTGACGATATTAGCTCCAGTCTAGCTAAGGTCTGACCTGAATTGAATTCCAGTAGTTGCGCTTGTAATTGCTTTGTGACCCAGGAAAACTGAAAAATTAATTTCTAATGGAACTTCTCTGATCCATTTCAAATAAATAAATGTCTGAAATGTTCTAATCTATGCGATGTTGTACAGTAAGTTTCGATATTCACCTTGCATAACCCAATTACCCAGAAATAATTGAGTTGACCTGGGCAGAAAAATATAGTGTTTGATTAATTTTCTATTCAATGAAACATTAAATCTTCCTTTTCATGTGATGAGTTCAGTCTATATGATTGCAATTAATTCTTGACAAAGAAATGATTGTTTTGGCACACAGTGTACTTAGGATAAGTTTCTTGAGTAATTTAGAAGCAACAAGAGCAAGGTCACATGTTGTATTGATGAATACCAAACCAGAATTTGACAGAAAAGGAACATCTTGTGAACAGTGACTACAAGATTGGTGGTGGGCATGGCACCTTGAGTCTCAAACCAAGATTTTAAATTGAAGTAAGGACAAGATGTGAGTGAACTTTGATGGTCTGTGAACCAACGTGTGAACAGTGGGAAGTATTCTTAGAAGTAGTTGATACTAAGCATACACTTAAAAGACCATTCCACTGATGTAATTGAGCAGCTGTAGTCAATAAGTCAGTTAAAATTCGGCATTTAGCAGAAGAAAAAGGCAATGCCCAAATTCAACAGAGAGTGAAAATCCCAGTTATCTGGGATCAGCATGGCTATACTAAGAAAGTAATGAGGTACAAAAGAGGAACCTGAATAAAACTACTACGGTAAATCTCCCAACAAACAGCAAGTCAAATTCTAAGCTCATTCAGAACAAGTGCATTGAATAGAATATGGATGAATTTAAAAGGAAATGCATGCATGGTTACCATGGGCAGGTGGCAATGGTAGATTCATTAACTGAGTTGAGGTGAAAATACTGGGAATATTTGGAAGGTCAGGCAGCATCTATAGTGAGACAAACAGCTAATATTGCAGCATGGTAACCTTTCATCACTTCAGTGACTTAAGTAAATTTTGACTGCCATTGAGTGCTCTGTGAAGGAAATTCTGTATTGTCAGAGGTGCATACTGTTATTGAGACCCTGCCTGCCCCTTACTAATAATTGCAAGGAAGGGATATTCTTCTAGTGGTCAGGTCAATCTTTATGTCCGAATAAACACTATGAAAACAGACTCTCTGGTTACCTCATTTGTGTGTGGGACGTTATGCAAGTTGACGGTCTTACTTATCTTTGTAATAAGTGAGAGTGTTCCAAAAATAATTGGTTAAAGATGCAAAGTGAGAAATCCTGTGGATGTAAGCGCGCCTTTTATAAATTTGCGCTCCAGTGTTTTAATGGTTGATGTGAATGATTTGTTGCTAACCTATCTGAAATGTGTCATTATGCAATCGTGCAAAAGAATCTATGACCTCTGTTCTGCAAATTTGACATTTCCTAGGGATTTTTCTTGATTCAAAGAAATATTCTTATTTTGTCTTTCAATCATAGGCACCCCCTTATATCGTGGACCATGGCGAGACTGGTCCAATTAGGTGCAATAGATGCAAGGCTTACATGTGCCCCTATATGCAGTTTATTGAAGGTGGACGGAAGTTCCAGTGTGCATTCTGCAGCTGTGTCTCTGAAGGTAATCCCTTTTGTTCTATTCAAAGCCAGTTGTTGAGCCATTTGGAGGTTAAGCATGAAGAGGTCTCATAGAAAATGCTACTGAAGAACAGCACAGTCAAGTTCACAAGTCTTCATGCAGCACCATGTTGAAGTTTGCTGAACAGATCAGGGACTCCAGAGCTTAGATGCTCTGCCTTTCTTTTGTCATCATACACTCAATAGTGGACAGAGTTGAAAAACATTCCTTGGTAGGCATTCAAATAAATTGCTGTTCAAAATGCCTCTGATCATCTTGAACTGTGGCTTCATAACTCGTGGCTGCCTGTTGTACGAGATGTAAGCAATATCATCAGAGTGATTCTGGTTTTTGATGCTTTAAAATGCTTTTTTTTGGCAATGCATAATTTTGATTTAAATGTAATGGTCTTAACGTAGCATGTGGATTGACATTTTTGGCATTGTTTTTATAATTGGTGACTGAATTGTTCAAGTGCCTTTTCCATCCTTCCTAATCCCTTATTTTGGTGTATCCAGCTGTTTGTACTGTGACTGGTATTATTCTTTCTACAGTACTGCCTCACTATTTCCAACATTTGGATCACACCGGCAAGCGAATGGACTGCTATGACCGACCAGAACTGTCGCTTGGTTCCTATGAGTTTTTAGCTACTGTAGACTACTGCAAGGTATTTTATTACATTGATCAATTTTATTTATCTACGTTCTTCCATGTTAAGTAAATAATTTTTAAATCCTTCCCATTATAATTTGCATAGACACAATATATTCCGCAAATACCGTGCACATTTTCTGATAAAGATTTCATCCTGTGACTGCAGGAAAGAACTTTCATATTATGGCTTTGAGCAATTCACAATTTAGGTTAATTGACCAAGATAAATATATTTCTGCTTGCAAAATCTCTTGTCACCCTGCATATTTGCAAATTCATTTCATCAAACAGTACAATAGCCTACGGAGAATTCAGACTTGTCGTAGGTAGCCTATAGCTTACCCTGAATGTTTAGTCAGTATCTTAGTACTGATGTGCTTGTTGCCAGATACACAAGTGCAGTCGCTCGGTAACAGTTTTTATAATGTTCGCACCTGTGCAGTGCCATGTTAATACAAGCATAGCAACATGTCTACAAGTGACTTTAAGCAATATTAACAGAAATATGTATGGATGGGAGTAGCTGTCAACTAGGAACTTTCATGTGTGATTTGATTACAAGCTCCATTCCCAAGCATAAAATTGGGTGCAGGTATGTTTCTTGAATCACTGCTGAATCATAGTAATTTATTTAAAATTCATCAGTGTTTTTTCCACATGTGCCAAATTTGGACAGGTTTTTCGCAGCTTTGAGAGGATGTGGGTGCAGAGTGATCATGTATTTACATACTTCCGCCAATTTTTCCCAAGAAAGGATTAACTGGAAAAGAATATTATCAAAAGAAACTAGGGATGAGTAACATGCTCACCCAGCCAGGAAGGCCATATCCCATGAAATTATAAAAGGAAGTTCAGGACACGGGAGCAACTCCCCTGTTGTACATTTATACCTGGTTGTACCATTGGGAGAACTGTGCAATTGAATCAGCTGCCTTGCAGGATTTCTTGGCTTTTCTTTTCCTTGTTTCCCTTGTGGAAGACAATGACTGATATTTGATGCTATTTGTGTGTAAAACTCTCCAATGTGCTGCTTTAATAGTTGCCCACTATGTCACTGGATAATCTGTTGTAGAGTTCAATAGTAGCTAAAGTTAATGCTGTAGTTAATGGAGTTGAGATACTTCATCGCAAATTTCATAAATGGCTTCTTTTCCAGAACAACAAAATCCCTAATCCACCTGCTTTCATCTTTATGATTGATGTGTCTTACAATGCACTGAAGAGTGGACTAGTTCACCTGCTATGTGAGGAACTTAAAACTCTATTGGATTACTTCCCAAGGTGAGAGAGCATTTACTATTGACATAAATGATCATAACAAAGCATTTTGCCAATGATTTCTCAGCAGTGGTGTTCTTGTCATGCATCTCCCTAATTGAAATAAGTTGTCATCCACTTGCGCATTTGAAATGATTTACTTTTGTGAGGGAAACTTGTCCCTGTTTCTCTAGTTTCCACGTAATTGAAGTTCTCACCCAGGTACCATTCCAGTAAATCTCTGCCTTTCGCAGAATTCATGACATCCCTCCAAAGGTATGGTACTCCAGCTGAGACTTTAGTACCAACATATAACGATTTAGCATCACCTTTTCTATTCTGACTGAGCCTTCCAACCTGTGAACCCTACTGTCTAAAATGACAAGGGTAGCAGATACATGGGAACTCCATCATCAGCAAGTTCCCCTTCAAGAAAATTTCCATCCTAACTTGGAAATAAATCACCATTCCTCCAATATCTCCGGAAGTCCGTCCACTAACAGCACCGTAATCCACCCATATTTGTTTTTGCAGCCCTTTTATATTGAACAGTAAGTTTATATTTCTTCCCTTCATTGTTCCTTCTAAAACACACTGCATCACACTTTACAATTTTGTGCTCTTGATATCCATTACTTATCTTCCCCATTGTTAACTTCATTTTCAAGTATGTGGTGTCATCTGAATATTGAGATTATTCCCTACATACCCTAGACCCAGTTCATAATATCTATGAAAGAGCAGTTGTCCCCACACCAGCTCCTAGTGAGCAGCACTGTACAATACTAGCCAGTTTGAAAGGTAGTTGCTCATCGCAGCACTTTTTCTGTCCTGTATTCAATTTCATATCCAAACCAGCCCTGCAGTCCCAATTGAATTGAATTTTATTCACTTTTTGTAGCAGATTAGTTAAATGCCTGGAACCATAACGCTTCAAGAAATGGAGATCGTTCCTTTGCACCCAGTGAGAAATTTCTTAGCTGGGAAGTCTGCTGCCTCTGTGGCTCTGATCATTTGCTCATGGTTTGTGTGTAGTAGTGTTCCAGCATGGAGCAGTCTATTTGAGGTACTTCACTCTGGCTCTAATGTGACTTAATATGTTATGGTGCTGTGAAAGAGTTGTGGCCTATTTTTTAAACTTGTTTCATCTTTTCCAGGGAGGGCAATGCAGAAGAATCAGCAATAAGAGTTGGATTTGTAACTTACAATAAAGTTCTGCATTTTTACAATGTGAAAAGCTCATTGGCCCAGCCACAGATGATGGTGGTGTCTGACATTGCTGACATGTTTGTCCCATTGCTTGATGGATTCCTGGTTAATGTCAATGAATCACGGGCTGTGATAAACAGGTAAGGTCTCCAAGCCACTGGCCGTCCTACAGTATTGTATCCCAGCTGTTTTCATAAAACTTCAGACGTGTCATATTGTGGAGTGTAATGTTTATACTTGGAAGTCTATCTGTTGTTCAGTGATGACTCCATTTTATCCTTTGTATCTAACCCCCAAACTCATTCCTCCCAGATCGAGGTTAATATTTGGAAATGTGACCAAATATTTAAGTATTTTAATAATCTGAATAATCTTGTGGAATGTTACTTTGAGGAACTTTCTTTGAGACTTGAATATTCAGTTGGATTTTGATCTGTGCAAGTTTTTAGACTACAGTTGAGCTGATTTCACAGCACTTCTTTCAGGTGCATTTGACACTTTACCAGGTTTATTGAAAGCAGTTTTGCAGTTTGCTGTGGCGTTTGAATATCTGAGCTCCCAACCTCTCCAATACTTTCTCAAGCACCATAACCCTTTTCCTGCTTACTAAAATGAATCTTGAGGTGGAAGCTATGGAAGTTACGGAAGTTGAGTTCCCCTAATCTGCCATTAGATCTGAATGCAATGTTTGGCGAATCTTGGCACAGTCAGTTGAACATAGACCATAAGGTTTATGAAACTGAATTACAGTCTTGCTGCTGTTAAGCAAAGGATTCAACAATGATGACGAAATAATTTTGTCCACTCATTTTCCAGTTTGTTGGAACAGATTCCTGAGATGTTTGCTGATACAAGAGAGACTGAAACTGTGTTTGGACCAGTCATTCAGGCTGGTTTGGAGGCTCTTAAGGTAAGACTTGTGTTAACATCCAAAATTATTTTGAATTTTCATTTTGACTCGAATTAGTCATAGTGCAAAGCAGTTTGTTTCTTTTTTCATATTCACTGATGGGACTTGGGCATCACTAGTTGCCCTTTACAAGGTGGTGAGCTGCCTTCTTGAACTGCTGCAGTTCACATGCTGTCAGTAGAATGGAGATGATTGAGTGACCCATCCTCTGTCAGTCTCACCTGGAGATTCCACTGCTGTTGTGATTGGGATTGAATCCACGCACGTAGTTTGTATGTAACTGGGAAAGTCACCCTGCTTTTATTTGGAGATGTTGCTGTGATTTGGTGCTGAACTCTGTTGCTATAGTTCATGAATACCAGTGTTTGCTGTGAAACTCACCCTACCACGAATTCCTTGTCTGACACATTCATATCAATCGATACACTTAACTGTTAACTTTCTTCCGTCATTGTGTTTTGTATTTGCAGGCAGCAGAGTGTGCTGGTAAATTGTTCATATTTCACTCAACCTTGCCTTTGGCTGAAGCACCTGGAAAATTGAAGAATAGAGATGACAAGAAGCTTATTAACACAGATAAGGAAAAAGTAGGATAGTCATTATGCCTTTTTTGTGTAACTTAAAATTTGTTATTTGGAAGACTGAAGTAGTATTTGATAAAGACTGAATTTGATAAATGTTTGCTTCTGGGATATGGATGAAGTCAGCAATGTTCCATTACTGATTCTGCCTGTCAAGTGCATCGAGTTAACTTTGTACTGGCAGGTCCAGGCCAGATGGGGCTGGTTGGGTCCAAACCTTGGAGGGCGTTAGTGAATTGGCTGGGTTTATAAATGATAATATGAGCAATTTCATGATTTATTTGATCTAATGCTAGCCCACAAACGTTTAAGGAATTTAGTTTCCCAATTTAACACAACGGGATTTAAGTTTTCAACCTAGGGGTTGCAAATCCAGTACCTCCATGATTAGACTGTTGGCCAGACTAACTGATGGACTAAATAACAGTTTGGTTCTGTACAGTTTTGATCCTGTGTTGGTGGGTAATCACGAAAGAAAGTCCGCAAGCATTGAGGGTAGATGAGCAATAGTGGATGAGGACAGAGCGGGCAGGAACTATAAATTTCAACCCCAGGAAGAATGGGAATGTGTGAATATGGATCAAGGTCATAGAAGGTGAGAGGATGTTGGTGGGGCTAGTGATGGAGGAGGAAAAACTTTTGTGGGACTTGTATTTAAAAGAAACCTGTTGCCAAATAATTTTATCTGTATAATCACATTGAATGCTCAGACAATTGAGTTAGATGATGGGTGATTGAGTTATATTAACTCAAACCACGGAAAATGAAATTGGGTTAAAAGGCAATCCACTGATAGGGTCACACAGTGTAACAGCCTGATCAAATGTCTTAATTATCATGTGTTTCTATTTATAAAAGCATGCATTTATTATTTACAGGTTCTGTTTCAACCTCAGACTAGCTTCTACAATAATTTGGCCAAGGAATGTGTGGCACAAGGCTGCTGTGTGGATCTCTTCCTATTCCCCAATCAGTATGTGGATGTGGCTACTTTAGGGTTGGTAACTTACCAAACTGGAGGTTCCATTTACAAGTACACATTTTTCCAGGTAATGTTTGTAATTTGTACAATTACTGTAGGAATTTCATAACTGTCTTTATGGTTTTAACTTGCCTCCACCTGCAGAAGTATCAAACTTCTCAACAATTCTTTTGAAGCTACATTGTCTAAAAATTGGCCATCCTTCTTTTGTTTTTAATGAAAATGGTTTACGGAGTATGGGAGTCATTGGCAAGGCCAATATTTTTTGCCCATCCTGTTGGTATTGAGCTACGTTCTTAAACTCCAGTGACGTCGGTACACCCTCCATGCTGTTGAGGAGAATTAGAGCAAGTAATGTTTCATACTGCCAGCACTTTTTTGCTCACCAGGCTTAAAGGGTGGTGATTTTTCAGCTGTGTTACTTGGAATGAACTGATTTTTAAATTGCTGTTTTGACCTGAATTAAATGTAAAAGTTAGTGCTTTTTATTTGTCTGTTTGGAGATTGAGACCCTGGCCTTCTGTTGTGGCTTTCTAAATTCTTTAAGCTTTGAGTGCAGGTCATACCTCTGCTATTCCTGTGCGCTGAATAGAATTAAACAGTAGTAGTGAGCTTTTGTTTCAGATAAAATGAAGTAATCCTGCAAACTGTCATCAAATTGTTTTGTGGTGTGATGAATGAGAGCTAGCTAACAGATTGTTAGAAAAGGGGAACTGGATGCTGTTTCGCACTGACTGTGCTTGATACAAATAGAACAAATTATCTGTAGTGCTGTGTGGAGAAGAGAAACTTGTACCCATGGTCTTGATTAACAAGCTGCCATTATTGAGGATAAAATCTGGGCTAAATTTAATAAAAATGAGCAATGAGTAGGTATCTATCCAGCCACCCATGTCACCTAATGACAGAACAATCTTGGACAAGTCTAAATTTGGACTAAATGACCAACGAAGTGTGCCATTGGTACTGAAATAACTACACAGAAGCTGGTGTCCCATCACCTAAGGACCCTTTATTTACGAGTGAACAGTGCACAGTACACTGGCTGTAGGCAGCCAGCTTGGAGTTAGTCCTCAACTGAGGAGATTCTCATCTCCTGGTTGTATTGGTCAGCCAAGGCTTTCCTGGTTGGGGTTGTTAACCTGGGCCAATAAAGTACTTTGTCAATGAGGTCCACTGACTTCCAATCGCTGCACTCCTTCCTTTCCCCTTGCCCCAGACCCACCCAACCCCTGCCCACAAAAAAAGTCTGGTATGTGGGCCTGGTCTTTTGCCTGTAGCTTCCCTTGTGTCGCTTTTGCCCCAGATGTGGTTCTTATGACTCGACTCAGACACATGCAGCTTCTACTGGACGGGGACCTGTTTCTTGCGTCCAGAACATCTTGGAAGAATCTCTTCCTCCTCTTCAGGTGGCAACAGTAGCGAGACTGCATCCATTTCAGACTCTGATTTTCCTCGACACTAGGTGGAGGGGAAGCTCCCATGGTTCCTGCCAAGCCTTCTGGCTGGTCTGAGGGGTTTTGCACCTGACCTGTTTGCGAGGTAATGGCTTTCAGGTGATCCACATGTTTGTTCTGGACTGTGTCACCTTACCTAAACTTGAAGTAACAGGACCTGACCTTGCGTCCGCCTTGCTTGTACCCATACAGGACCGTTTCCATAGTTCTGGCACCCACACGCTATCCTTGAATTGAATCCTCTCACTTGCTGAGGGGAGGCATTCATGCTGCTGTTTGACCTCCCCCTGAATGTTGGGACTACTCTTTCCGCTAGACCATTGGGTGACAGATGGTATTGAACTGTCCTTAAGTACCAAATGCCATTGGACTTTGGCAAACATTCAAATTCCCCGCTAGTAAATTTTCTGTAACCAATAATTCCAGGAGTCACGAGCGATGCTCACAGCTTCTCAATGTCATTCCTGAGTTTGTTGAATGAATTTGATGTACATCCAGCCACTTTGAATGGATGTCCACAATGACCGGGAACGTCAAACCCATGAAAAGACTGACATGGTCGATTGGCAACTGAGTCCAGGATTCATCCGGCTATTCCACGAATGTAGGAGTGCTGCTGGTGGCAATTTTTGTCCTTGTTAGCACTTTGGACACTGCCCCACCAGCACAGCCAAATTGGCATCCAACCCTGGCTAGCAGACATAGCTTCTTGCTAGCATCTTCATCTTGGAAACCCCTGGATGTCCCTGGAGGAGTTCAGCCGATATCTGGTGGCAACCTTTATTCGGGACAATCACCCCAACTTCCCTCGGTACTATGCTGTCTTCTACAGCAATCTGGCCTCACCATGTAGGGGAACTTTTCAGGGTGTGCAGTCTCCTGGATACCGGCCTCCGAGTTTGCCTACTCGGGTCAGGCCTTGCAGGACTCCCTTTGCTGTCTTGAGTCCACATACCGGCAGCAACTACGATGGCTTGCCGGCCTGGATCCTGAAGAAATTTTTAGCCACTTGGCCGAGGCTCGGCTTTGTTGTGAGGTTCTGCTGTGGGTTGGCCTAGGTTCCCTCAGCTCGGGACATACCCTGCGCGAGGCTCTGCGATTGCCTATACTCAAGTGGTGTTCCCCCAGCTTAGCTGGACAGGTGAGGGTGCCCACTTGCATTGGGATGCCCTTTAGTTTCCATGCTCCACTTGGCAGATTTTCTAATGACAAGGCGAGCTGCAGTGCTGGTTTCAAGTCCAGTTGGGCTTCAGCTAGTCGGGGCTTCTGCATGGTTACGTCATTAATCCCACGTACCAAACAGTCTCTCAGCATTCAGGGTTAACCCAAAATCACATTCCTATTCTAGTCATTGTAACCTTGTTGAAAATATTGATACAGACTCCCCCAGTTATCTAACAGCCAAATAAAATGGATAGCGTATCAAGATTAGAGGAGGTTTGAGGTCGTGATATTCCTTAACCAACCCTGTCAACTCTTGAAAGGTTTTAGTGTCTGGTGCCTAATGGTAAGTTAAGCCCCTTGTAACCAAAAATGTCGCGGGTCCACATGCAGTCAGAAGAATCACTCGTTGCTTTTCATCTGCCCCAATGTCATTCGTCCAGGAAAATATATTGTATTCTTTCTGCATACTGGGCCCAACCTTCAACAGCAGTGTCAAAGGAGTCAAGCTTCCCAAACAGTAGAGGCATGATGCCATAAATGCTTAACTCCATCTTCAAGAAGGTAATTGCAAGTGAATGTTCCTCAGTCCTCCGGAGTCCCTCTGGACTCAATATTGAGTTCAATAATTTTAGGGCCTAAACTCTCCAATGTCCCAGCCCCCTACCCCACACACCAGGACTTGTTATCACATAGCCTGCCATCACACACCCCTTCTTGTTAGCCATAACACTCCCCATTAACAACTATTCACCCTCCCAGCCTGATCGTTAGCAACTCCTTTATCTGTCCAACTGTCTTTCTCTCTCTTTGGGCCCTATCCTATCATTTACCCCCTACCCCACCCACCTCCCTATTCTCTGCACATAAATTGACGTTTTCCACCACCATCAATTCTGAGGAAGGGTCACCGGACCTGAAATGTTAACTCTGTTCTTTCCTTCACAGATGCTGTCAGACCTGCTGAGCTGTTCCGGCAACTTTGTTTTTGTTCCTCTGATGCATCCTGTTTTCTCCATTGCTACAGAGGCCGGGTCCCGTCACCCTTTATTTATTAGCGCACAGAACACTGGCTATGGCCAACCAGCTCTGAGTCAGTCCTCCACTCAGGAGATTCTAATCTCCTGATTATATTGGTCAGCCAAGGCTTTCCTGATTGGTGGTGTTAACCTGGGCCAATCAAGAACCTTGTAGTTAATGAGGTCCACCTCGTTCAGATCATGACAAGTACAAAAGGTAGAGAATGGTGAGCCCTAAGCATTCAACAGTTTGTCTATTTCTGTTTTGAAATAGGAGGGACCCATTTTTTCTCACTTTCAACTAGTGCTAAAATATTACATGGGTACAGGGGATGAAAACCCTCCTGTACTGTACATTTTTCTCTTTTATGTTTATGTAGAAGCAAGATATTTCAGTTGTGAGCAAGCTATTCATGTAGAAGAGATGTACTGTTTTATGACCTTGTAAGCTCCTTCAGCATTTTATCAAGTGTACTGAATATTCTCGTGGCAAATAGGAACACTTGAAGATTTTTTTATCAACTCAGTTTGCCAAAAGCTTTGATTTAATATTGAAAATATTCTTGTTTAGGAGTTTATGTGATCTAGTAAACGATCAATTTGGGTAGATGGAACCATATCATTTCCGACAATTAGGTTTGCCAACTCTGCCATTAACCCTGGACATGTCATTGTGTGACTTCCAAACCCCTCTCCCTACACTCTCACCATTGATCACTCGACATATCAGACCTCATTACACCCAGCATTTCCCATGGTGGGCGAATAGGATTTATTGGACTGCTCTGTGGAGGGTGGGCATGGACTTAATGGGCAAAATGGCCTCTCTTTGTGTGATAGAAGGCTATGAATGGAATCTCAGGAAGACCTCGGATGTTGCCCAACCTCCTTTTTTAACCCAGTGACATAACTTAATATTGAAAATAAATTCAGTGGTTTAAGTAGCTGGTCTGTTATGCTCTGATCAAAATGCATCAAAAAACTGTCAAATATAATTAAAAGCTCAAGAATTTTTTGTTACAAGGCTGTCTTTAGTGGATCATATTGATAGATTGCAGTTAGCAGCAATACAGTAACAGATTCATTTAGCAAGATGTGTTCGTGAGTAAGTCTAGTTTACGATTGAAATTGAAACAGTTCCTCTTGGCGCTGGAAGGTTTTCATTGTTACGTGAACATATTTGTTTTTCTGAAGACTGCAATTTCGTGGCTTTCCAAGTTAGCTGTTCAAACTACAAAGCTTGCTTCTCCTAAAGTGTAGAGCAATGTTTAGCTTATAGCAAACTTTCAAGTGCTATTTGTTTGCTCTCAGGCACAAGCAGATGGGGAGCGCTTCCTAAATGATCTACACAGAGATGTCCGAAAAGTGATTGGGTTTGACGCAGTGATGAGGGTGCGCACCAGCACAGGTATGTCAGTACATTAGTTGTTGAATTTAACAATTTTGCTTAAAATACTATTTGTGCAATTTAAAAGTGTGTACAGGTCTTTGTGACTCTATAGCTGTTTCTTATCTGATGCACTTTCTCAGCCGCTTGGTTTTGCCGTGTACGCTCGCACGCGCACACACACACACAGCTTGATCATAATGTTGTTGTGAGCTGGTGCATTGAATGCCAACACCTTGTTAATAAGTCACTCTAGAGATTTCATTATCTGAAAATTATTAAAAATAAATAAGCAACTAGCAAGGAGCACTAAATTACAATGTTCCAATCATGCAAATCTTCTGTTCCTCAAGATTGCTTTCAGATTGAAGCTACATCACTTATATCAAATGTTTATTAAATATTAGCACTTTGATTTAGTATTAATGAGACAAATAATAAATAATTGAAATATTTTGCTTTTAACACTTTACCAAACATGAACTCATTGATAAATACTTATCTATTATTCCAGTTTTGGTCATACTTATGGCAATAGGTAACGCTCATACACCTGACAGTCAGTGAAAATAGGCATTCAGATTTCATTGATTTTAATTCCAATTGTCACCATAAGTGATATTGGGATATTTTTGAAAACATTCATAAAAAATGATATTTTTCTGTAGATAAACTTTGAAACCGATTTTGTTATCAATGGTCACACAATCTTAGCGAAGACCATTTCATTATAAATGTGAATCATCTCTGGGGATTTAAAGAAAGCTAGTCTCCTGTAGTGCCCAGGTTACGAATGGGTTCTATTCCAGAGTACATTCGTAGATCATTTGCATGCAGTTCGGAACACAATACAGTACAATATAAAATTGCTGTTTGTAAGTACAAATCACTATTTGCATGTTAGATCTTTGAAATTAATATTAATGCACTCCTGTTTTGGATCTCACTCGTAAATACAGGCGTTCGTTAGTTGAGGATTCATAAATTGGGGACCGCCTGTAATGGCAATCCTCTAACCATTGTCGATTGTTGTAAAACTCATCTGGTCTGCTCATGTCCTTTTATGAAGGAAATCTGCCATCCTTACCTGGTCTGGCTTCTATGTGACTTCAGACCCACAGTAATGTAGTTGATTCTTAACTGCCCTCTGAAATGACTTGGGACACTATTCAGTTCAAGCGCAATTAGGGGTTGACAATGCTGTTGTAAGAATGTGTAAAAAGAAATTGCATTTTTCTTGAATTTGCTTTTGTTAAAAATTTGTTTTTATTCCAGGGATTCGAGCAACTGATTTCTTTGGCTCTTTCTACATGAGTAATACAACTGATGTTGAGCTGGCTGCATTAGACTGTGATAAAGCTATCACTGTGGAGTTCAAACATGACGACAAGTTGAATGAAGATGCTGGAGCTCAGATTCAAGTGAGAAAATGCTATTAAATTATCGATCAACTGAACCACTTTTTATTAGTTGAAGTTTTCTAATGTCAGTGAATATTCTAGAAAAACTAGGACATGCTTGAGTTCAGTGTTTTGCCAGTGTGTGTTATTGGTCGTGCCACTTGCCATTCCTTCACTGGGCAAGTGTACAATTTTCTGGACTAGCCATTTTTCCTTGCTGAAGATAGCATTGTGAAGCCAGCTTATATTGGCTATGTTAACTTGGCCGTGTACAGGTGTAATTACCAAGCACAAATGTATGTTAATATCAGTCTGCTACATGCTTTCATGTAAGGTGTTCTTGGTTTAATTCAGTTTCTGATCCCAAGTTTGCAAATGCATCACAAGTAAAATATTGTAGGATATATAGATTGTTGTGATTTTTTTCCATCCAGAGAGCCACTACAGTGCCTCACACCATGTCAATCAATTTGCCTGGAAGGCTGTTCCAGTATATTGCCATTTTTGGCATGAATCTGTGCTGTTTGTCTTACTGCAGGCCTTACTACAATATTACCTGCGTTGTTATCTCTGTTCTTTAATCACCACCTTTTAAATGCTTAAAGTCAACATTTCCCAAATCTTCCTATTAGCCCAATTCTCAGGCTTGTGGCGGTTCTTTCAAACTTCCTCCAAGACTTGATTGTCTCCCTGTTTTTGTGACCAGACCTGAACACAATACACAAGCTACATTGACCAAAAACTGGACAGATTGGGCATAAAATCCTTGGACTTGCACTGTTATTGGTTTTATCTGTTTGCCTTTTTGAGTGCATGGAAGAGTGTTTGGGGTCTGTTGAAAGTCTAATCCACTTGAATCCTTCTTCATTAAACTTTTTCTTGCTGATAGTTTATGACTGTGGACTTCAGCAAATAGATTCACAGAACAGAGTCACATAACTTGCTTTTTGAATTTCAGGTGTGTTAGATCACTGGAACGTTTTGACATGATAATACACATGGTCAAAATTTGTTAATCTCGATTGTTGAGCATGGAAGGAGGCCATTCAGCCTATTGTATCTGTGCTGATGTTTTGAAAGACCATGTGATTAATCGCCCTCTGCTGCTACTCTTCCCTCTGTTGGTATTTATCTAATACAAAAACAAAAATTACTGGTACATCTGTGGAAAGAAAGTAGAGCTAACATTATGGATCCAGTGACCCTTCTACAGAACTCCAGTTATGGTAACTCTGCTTTCTTTCCACAGCTGCTGCAGATTTGTTGAGTTTTTTTGTTTTTTTTTGTTTGGTATTTATCTAAAGAACTGCGGATGCTGGAAATTAAAAATAAAATCAAATTACCAATGTTCCTTTTGAAAATTAGCATTGGTCTTATTTGACATCCATCGAGACAGTGAACATCAATTGTACTCACTGCTTATGTTTTGATGATATTTGTGTAAAAGTTGAAATCTTTTTCTTTAAAACAAGTTCCATGAATAGTTCCCAAACATATTCTTCAGTTGGACTCTCTTTAAGATTTGCTGAAGTAAGTTTCAACTTCTATTTTCGTGCTGCAGCAATGCATTTGATAAATGAATTATTCTCCCTTTCTTTCATTTCCCCACCCCTCCACAGTGTGCTTTGCTCTATACCAGTTGCAGTGGACAGAGGAGGTTACGTATACACAACCTGTCTCTTAATTGTTGTACTCAGCTTGCTGATTTATACCGAAACTGTGAAACTGACACACTTATCAACTACTTTGTGAAACTAGGTAAGCTGCTGCCAGAATTCTACCTGGTTTTTGTTGCAGAAATTATTCTAATGTAGAGGTCAGTGAACCTCGTCCAGTGTCATTGCAGCAAGCGCTGGGGGAGGAAATAAAAACAGTACTGCATAAGTTAGCTCATCATAATGAACTAGTGTTCAGGGTGCAAGCCTGGCTGGAGGAAGGGAACGTCAATCAGTGAGGATTCCTGTGTTTGGTCAGGATCAAGGATAACTATTGGGCAGTGTGGATATGTCGATTTTGCCTGAGAATAGGATTGGGTATGGCTCTGATGTCTGCAGTTTTAGGAACTTGCCAAGACTCTGTCAGCTATTAACTCAATAAAGATGACATAGAAATTAGCCTCTGATTGACACTTTCAGGATGGAGGAAGATGGTGCAAAGTGATACTGCAGTTTACTGTAGAAACTAGTCATCAAAATTCAGGTCTCAGAATCCAGTATCTGGTTTCAACTAAATGTCCGTCACTCAGCCTATAATCACAAACAAAATGAGACTATTTCCTGAATTCAGGTCAGTGTAGATTTTTATTAAGCATCTTAAAACAGATCTTTTTCTCTGAATTTACTGAACATTACTGAAATACTGTGTAATTTGAGATGGAAGAAAAACAATATTGCTTTTTCATCCTGATCTCCAGCCGTTATTTAGAGGTTTACTATTTAGTACACTGGTTTTAGATTACTACCTTTAATTCAAGCTCATTTTTCCTTTAACAAAACCGGTGTCAGATGCAGTCATTGTCTGTGAAGATGCCTGTGTCGCGCACACAACGTCAGTGATGGGTCTTGATACTTCAATGAAAGTCTAACAATTCTTCTTCATGTCAAAGCCAGCAGTCGCATTAATTTAAATACAGGAAAATTAAGGTTGACAATTGAAGATGGCAATAGTTAAAAAACCTTTTGTTTAAGATACTTTACAATTGCTAAAATCATGTGGAATTTTTTATGGTTTATTTTTATTAAAATAAACATTGAGAGAATTAGTAAATTTGAAGTTAAACTTTATAGAAGTTGTATTTTTGGTATTTAAACACCAATCTGGTTTTGATTTGATTTACCGAAGTACAGAGAAAAATTGTTTCAGAACATGGAACATAGAACGGTACAGCACAGTACAGGCCCTTCAGCCCACAATGTTGTGCCGACCTATTATCCTACTCAGATCAAACTACCCTGCATATCCTACATTATACTATCATCCATGTGCCTATCCAAGGGTCACTTAAAAGTCTCTAATGTATCTGACTCCACTACCACTGCTGGCAGTGCATTCCACACTCCCACCACTCTCTGTATAAAGAGAGCTTTACAAGCAGATCATGGGAAACAAGGACATAACAATCATAGGGTACTTAGAGCGAGGCACACAAGGTTACAGCTGCACAGGAGGCGCACAAAGCGAGATCAACATGAGATTTGAAATTAGAGATCTTGTAGATTAGTTGTTTTTAATAACTCATGGAGTGTGGGTGTGCTGGCTGGCTAGCAATTCTTGTTGCCCATCCCTAGTTGCCCTTAGGGTGGTGATGGTTGAGAGCTGCTGCCTTGAACTGTTGAAGTCAGCGTGCTGTAGATTAACAGCTCTCATGAACAGTTGTTTGAACGGGTTTAGCAGATAACCAAAAAGCATACTGTTCCATTAAATCATCTTTGTTCCACCTGTTGAATTTATTAGTTATGAAAACCGTATTCAAAATGCAGGTTTACTTACAGCAGTCTTCAGAAAATTAATACTTTACTGTTGAAGAATGTATAGTTGTAGCACCAGCTGCTACCATGTTCGAAATATATTGTCCTTGTGCTATAGTGGATGTTCTTTAGGTTTAAGACTTGGGTTTAAGTGTTGTGATTTGTCAGTAGAATTAGTGTGAGGTTTGTAAGCCATCCATTTCACATTTGGCACATTGCCATCTTATATGTACTGTTGATTTAACACCATAAACATATTTTCTCATCTCTTTGCAGCATATCGTGGCGTCCTGAGCAATCCCACAAAGACTGTGCGTGAAAACCTAATTAACCAGTCTGCTCAGATTCTTGCATGCTACCGTAAGAATTGTGCAAGTCCATCATCAGCTGGACAGGTAGGCAAGTAGTATCGTTTGCAAGTTAATTGTGTTAGTTTGGTTTACTAAATTTCATCTGAGCTTGAACACAAATTTACTGCTCTTGGTTAGCAACTACAGATTGGGTAAGGAAGGAAAACCAATTGAGTAATGGTGGAGAAGCGATCTCTCTGTTCCTGCTCTGTGCTTGTGATTTCTGACCATAAATAGAACCAATTGCTAACTCATCACCAGGCTGTTCTTGGTATTATTGCTGGAATATTGTCAGACCCCATAGCTGATGCAGCATCTTGTAGCCTTAGCCATTTCTTGATGTCACGTGGAGTGAGCGGAATGAGTGAGGACTAATTCAGGGGAGCTCCGGAGGAAGCTCAGATGGATCATCATCTGGAAGAAGATGGATGCAAATGTTGCAACCTTGATCCTTGCACTGATGGTGAAAGAATGTCCATCTTCTCTCCCACCTATCCGCCCTTCCCACCTCACTGACCAATCCCCACTACTCCCTACCTGCACTCGCCTATCACCATCCCACCTACCTTCCCCAGCCCCACCCCTCCTCTCTCTCTCTTTATTTCAGAGCTCCCTTCCCCCTTTCCCATTTCTGAAGAAGGGTCCCAACCCGAAATGTCAACTTTCCTGCTCCTCCGATGCTGCCTGGCCTGCTGTGTTCCTCCAGCTCCACACTGTGTTACCTCTGACTCCAGCATCGGCAGTTCTTACTATTTCTGAGAAAATTCCTTACTAGTTCAGATTGAGAGCCTGTCTAGTTAATGTGAAGGTTTTTATTGATGTATTTTCACCCAGAGCGGTGATTCAGAGACCAGGTCTGTCAGCACATTTTGAATATGTTAAAGATGGATCAGTTTCAATGTTTGATCATGAGTGCACAGAAAAGTCTATTCTAGAATTTGTTAGTAAATAAGGCTGTGATGCAGCAGTAGTTTGAACATTTAGCTTATTTCTAGACTCAGCTCTGTGTTCCAACCATATTATCCAAGTGGAATCTGGTGGAGTGCCACTTTAAATGGTTGAAAAAGTAGTAGCAATATAAACTAAGCAATTTCTGAGAAAGTTCTATCTTACCTTGAAGAATAAACAATTTTCAGCAATGAAAGTCTACCCCTGTAGAGAAGTGACCATAAAGGCTAAGTCTCGTCATAACGTTAGATAAGAGAACAAATTTGCAGGCCAGAGAGGTTTTGATAGAATTGAATGCCACTTTTAAAATGTTAGCACAGGCATGATGGGCTGAATGGCCACCTGTGTTGAGTGCTTTTGAAATTACTTTTTAAAATTGGAAAATTAGCTAGGAAATAGGAGTAAGAGTAGTCACAAATGGGAATTTCCAACAGTTGCAAAGAGGTTAGTATGGAAACCTGGGGGGTCTGGTCGAGGAGCACTCCAGGTTTTTTTCATGCATTTATAGCCAGATGACGGTGAGGCAAATGAATCTCCACCCTTAAAGACAACACCCAAATAAGCAAGGCATATACTGATCTTGAGAAATATTGCAGTCATAGTAATCATTCTAGTCTCGGGCTTCATGACTTCCTTATACCCTCAACCTGGCTGGTTGTCGAAGTTCAGGAAACTCTTCACAAATTGCCTTTTATTTTTAGTGTCTGCACCATCTTGTTTGAATTTGCCATTCTATTTTCAGAACTGTGAACTCCTTAATTAAGTCCTCAATTAGTAATTTGAAATAAGTGCAAATATTGAATTTAATTCTTACCTATGTCCCCTAGATTGTCTTTGCCCAAGTATGCACCAGTGTTTGTGTACAGGTTTTACTTAACTGAACCAATTGGTGGCAGATATGTAGAATACAAAGTGGAAGCTATAACGATGGCAATGAACCAAAAGAACAAGTGTTCCGTTGCAGTAAGAGAAGACGAGGGGGCTATTGCATTACATTGTTTACAAAATATGAAAGTCACTCAAGTGCCATTTGCATTAGGCTTGCTCAAGCCCATTGGGCATCCATTTGGCTGCTCGGCTGCTATCTGTGTCAGATAAATCCTTTTATAAGGCTATTTCTCAATTACAACTCTCTAAACTGGGAATACTGGATGCTAACACTAGTCACAAGAAGTGAAATAAGCAGGAGAGGCTGCAGGATTCCATTCTCACATTTTAGATCAGCTGAGTTTCAAAAAGCTTTCTTCCATTTGAATGAAATTGTATTCTAGCTGCAGTTATCCCAAGTTTTTTTTTGTTGAGGAACTTGTATCCATCGAGTTACTGAGTTTTGCTGCAGATTTTTTTTTTGAAGAAATAACTCAAAAAGTAAATATCTTGGTTAGTTTTTTTAGCCTTAGCTCACTGATGGCGCACTCGCCTTGTATTCAGAAGATTATGGTTCAAACCCTCACTCCAGGGACTTTAGCACATTGTGTAGGCTGAGCCTCATTAAAGTATTGAGATAATGTTGCGTTGACTGAAAGGCTGTCTTCTGCCCCCTCAAGTGACAAAAACCAATCCCCAGGGCAGTGCCTGGGGAGTTCTCCCCAGTATCCTGATAAATATTTACCAATAAGAATCAGAAACAGATTTTCTGATGCTGTGTCTGGTAGTTTTGTGGGATCTTGCTATGCATAAATTGTCTGCTCTCTTTCCTACATTATAACAGTGATTACACTTATCTAATCACTGGGATTTAAAATAATGAAAATCACTAAATATGTGCAGGCTCTTAAATTCTTGACTGCTCATGTCACGTAGATTTTTGAGTTAATGTTGCTAAAACAGAAGTAATGTCATCATTGAAAAATGGTTGTGGAGGTTGAAAGCTGCCCGATTACAACACTTACTGCCTCTGTTTAGAAGCTGATAGAACCAAAAAATTTTTGCAGCATTATCACTGAAATTTTTATTTGTGACTATCTGTGTTTGAAAATCAACTTTAGAGAGGGCTGTTGGTGTTGGATGTATAGTTGACAGCTATTAAATGCTTGTTTGTGCTCCTTGTAAAATAACAAGTTTGCATATGATTTAGTAATTGAGACTAAATGTAATATGAAGAGTGACTACCCCTCATATTGCACATGTCTATTCTTGGGAGCAGAGTTGCAGTGGGAGAAAGAGTGAGATAGATTTCATAAGGTTGAAATGCGAATTACACTGACACCTAGGAGCAGTAGTTGCTTATTTATTCTCCAGCTATTACTTAGCAATGTTCAGTAACTTGTGTATTATACGGCCACTACTTGTACAAAACATCATGTTATGGGCTAGAAATATATTGCAAGTTAACCTTTCAAGCTCCCTGAATAGGACCACCTCTTGAATACTGTGCAGTGTTCTGGTCTCCTTTTTTTAAGGAAGGGCGAAAATACATTGGTGGTGGCTCAGGGAAGATTTATTAAATTGATAACTGGAATGAGAAGGTTGTCTCAGATCAGACAGGCTGGGCTAGTTTGCACTAAAGTTTAGAAGAGTGAGGTGTAATTTGATTGGAATATGAGATCCTGAATATTCTTTACAAAGTGGATGTGGATACAATGTTTCTTGTGGGCCAGTCCAGAGCTAGGGAGCACTGCTTTAAAATTAGGGGGTTTCCCTTTTCGGGCTGGGATCAGGGGAATTACTTTTAAGGTTGTGTGACTTTGGAATGTACAGAGGTAAGGGTCATTGAATCATTTTAAGGCAGAGGTAGATAGATTCTGGCTAGACAGAGGGCTTGAAGGTTATTGAGGGTAGATGGGAATGCGAAATTCAAAACAAACAGATCAGCCGTGAACTTTTAAAATAGAGCAGGTTGGATGGGCTGAGTGGTCTATTTCGGCTCCAAATTTGAGAGTTGGCTTTCTCTTTGGAAGGATTTTATGGTTTTTGCTGCAGCAGTGGTTGGCAGAGAATCTCCTATTCCAGCCATCCAATGTGTGTAGTAACATTGGTCTATCTGGGATCTTACTGTGCGCAGATTGGTTGCTACATTTCATTACGTGACCTCTGACTACATTTCAAGAGTATTAAATGAGCAAAACACATTGCATGCTGAGGTGAAAATGCTATATAACTGCAAATCTGTCTTTCAGAGAAATAAGGAGCTTGTATTTATGCAGTGTCCCACGATGACTCAAGTGCTGCACTTTCAATTATGATACTTCAGATGTAGTTGCTGCTTTGCGAACCCCTTGAGTAAAATATTTTTCCCTTAACTTGGCATTTGGGTTTTGTAGCTATGAATAATTGCTGATTAGTACAGGATCTAAACATTCCGTTTCTTCCATCCTAATCCTGATGTGTGCAAGATGAAGTACTTTGAATTGTCACCTGTACACATTTTAATCTTGTGGCTGTGGTAAATGTGCAGATACTCATGATCACCTTAGTAATTAATGGAACTAATTTCATTATTCACTCAGAAATAGTTTCTACAGTTGACAATGACTTTGATCGTATCACTGCTCAGCTGTAGTGGGGAGATAAAAAACCACCTAAATTCTTGACCCTCATGATAACTTCCTGACTTATTCTAGTCTTCCCCCTCCCACCCTCCCCACCCCACCATGGCCCTACATGGAGCTTTCCCATTGTTGTTTTTTTCACTCCCTGCATCTTTCTCCTAGCTGATCCTGCCTGAGTGCATGAAGCTGTTGCCTGTCTACCTGAACTGTGTATTGAAGAGTGATGTCCTGCAGCCTGGAACTGAGGTCTCCATTGATGACCGCACCTATGTTCGGCAACTTGTCACATCCATGGATGTAGCAGAAACCAACGTGTTCTTCTATCCTAGGCTTTTACCTGTGGTGAGTAAGCAAATAAGGAGCTGTTCCTGCATTACAACACTGTCTACACATTAAAATACTTTATTGCATATAAAGTGCTTTGAGACATCTGGTGGTTGAGAGGAGTGTGACATAGATGTAAGTCTATTTTGTCAGTTTAAAAACTGCAGGAAAGGGCATTTAAATATGAAGATAATCTCTCAGCATGTGACATCAAAATTTGATGATCTCCCTGAATGTTTTTGGTAAGACAGGTTTTTTGGTAAGTTTCCTATCACTTAGAGCAGGCAGCTTCAGCCGCTGCACCCATAGGATGGGTGTGAGAGTGATCAGCAAAATTGGGCCACCCTACTTAAGTTGCAAAATGTTGAGGGAAGTGTGTCTACTACAGAGTTGAATGCTGTATTCAGTTCTTGAGTTCAGAATTGGAGGTAACCTGGTCTAAATTGGCTTTACTTGATTCTGAGTTCTCTCAAATTCAGAATCTGTAGGTCAACATATTTGGGTGCTTTCTGATGAAAGGCAGACTACCCAAAACTGCTTTGTCTTTCATGGATGCTGATTGTGCACTTGCACGGTTGCATCCTTCTCGTTTTCGGTTTTATTTTGCTGGAAACAAGCTGACTTGTATAGGAAAAGAACCGTTCAGATTCGGCAATGTGCGCATTTTTCACGTAGAAGCATAGGACAATTTACAACTTTAATCTAGAGTTTTGTGTTCAGGGAGTGCTGCACTGATGGAGATGTTAAACTGAGGTCATTTGCCCTCAGCTGGAGGTAAAAGGTTGCAAGGCATTCTTCAAAGGAGAGCAGGAAAGTAGAAGTTGGGTCTCCCATTGTCATGGCCAATACTTCTCCGCTGTTAATTCCGCTTTAAAAACAATCATCGGGTTCATGTGTGCAAACTGGTTGCCATGTTTCATCTATTTCATGAGTGACTGCACTTCAGAAGTACTTAATGGATGTCAGTTACAGCCAAATGCCCTTAGGTCCTGAAAAGTGTTTAAAAATGCAAGTTCTTTTTTCTTGTCTACAGATAACAGGAACTAAATGAGCATCCACCTCAATCTGTTCAAGGATAAAATCAGTGGCAAATGATGATAACTTTTTTTTGTTGATAAAATTAATGTTCTGATCATCTTTTGATTTTAAAAATTTCTTTATTGTGACCATAATGCTGCCTCTTTGTTCTCTCAGCACAAAATGGATATGGATAGTGATGATTTCCCAGTGGCCATTCGTTGCTCAGAGGAGCGATTATCAAAGGGTGGTATTTACCTGTTGGAAAATGGATTGAGCCTCTTCATTTGGGTTGGGATGAACACACAGCATGACCTCATTCAGAGTATCTTTAATGTGCAGTCATTTGGACAGATTGATTCCGCAATGGTGAGTGTCAGATGGGAGTGAATCATACCTTATGTCATTCTTGTAGGTATGCTTCTGTTTAATTCAGTAGTGAACAGTCTTGATTTGAGTCATGGGAATCTGAAGCATTGATACAAGTGTAAATTTCCTAAGTTGAGAAATCTCACTGCTATGAATTATGGACTGGTTTTGTGAGAAATATGACTCTTATGAACTACGGACTGGTTTAGACTGTGAAACATTTTCTGTGATGACAAAGCTTTTGCAGTATACTATGAACTTTGCACTTGTGACTTGGAGTCTATTATTAGCAGATGCACAACTGAAAACAGTTACTTTTCTCAGGTTTGGAAGGAGGCAAACTGGTTTATTTCTGTATTACTGTTAATGTTTATAATAATGCAGCTGTGTTTCAGCTGCTATTTGCACAAGCAGAGCATTGATTTGAAGTAGCTCCACTTTTGTTTAGAGTTGACTGATCCTGGTATGTTATTATAATGTCAGGGCATGAACTAACTCTGAAACTAAATTCAGAGCCAAGTCCAGATTTACTAGACAACAAGGTGCAGGGCTGGATGAACACAGCAGGCCAAGCAGCATCATAGGAGCAGAGAGGCTGACGTTTCGGGCCTAGACCCTTCATCAGAAAAGTGGGAGGGGAAGGGGGTTCTGAAATAAATAGGGAGTGGGAGGCGGATAGAAGAGGGATAGAGGAGAGGATAGGTGGAGAGGAAACAAACAGGTCGAAGAGGTGGGGATGGAGCCAGTAAGGGTGAGTGTAGGTAGGGAGTTAGGAAGGGGATAGGTCAGTCCAGGGAGAACGGACAGGTCAAGGGGGCGGGATGAGGTTGGTCGGTAGGAGATGGAGGTGCGGCTTGAGGTGGGAGGAGGGGATAGGTGGGAGGAAGAACAGGTTAGGGAGGCAGGGACGAGCTGGATTTACTATATGCCTTTAGCAACGATGTGCATTCAAACGGATGTTACATTCAGTGCAGCCATAGTGTCAACAATTGATGAACTTAGTTTGTGAGTAATGTTAAATACATGAATGTTGAAGAACAGAATTTATTTATTTATTCATTCATTTTACTTTAATAGTAGGTGTGTAAACTAGTTAAAAACAAATCCTGATAGAAATAAATATGGTCTCATGAATTTCTTAATGCTGAGTTCAGTAAAAAGTGCTGTTTGAGTAGATGTGGGCTGTTTTGAATTTTGGCTTTGGTTGTTTTTCAGACTGCTCTACCAATGCTGGATAATGCTTACTCAAAAAAATTACGGTCCATAGTTGATATGATACGTGCTCAGAGGCCCAGGTTTATGAAGGTAAATGAAACGCAGCATTTTATAATTAACAATGCCTTGTCAATCCTTGGCTTACTGTAGTGATGTATTCTTTCTGATTGTCCCCAGTCATTATAGTTTGAATAACTGGATGGACAATGAGGAATTGAATTGAAAGGACGAGGGGACACGAAATGTGGTGTTTTGTACTACTCAGCTTCCAAATGCAAGAACTACTTTGCCATTTACAACTTAGTGTAGAAATATCAGTTTTCCAGTTCAGAGCAGAGTCATATTTTCCTTTCTCTTGCAAAGCAGCATCCGCGCCTGCATCCTGCTCTCCCTGGTGTTAGCTGGGAGTTAACAGATGTGACATGATGACAAGCAAATCTGTCTGTTTCTGCCAGGTACACTTCACATCAGACACTGACGGATGTGAATGGTCAGACCTGATATCAGCTCACTCAAGGTGACCCTGTCCTTGCTCACTTGTACAGCATACTTTACTGGCTTTCATCAGGTTTTATGATGTATATTGATGAAGTGCTTTAAGACATTACAATAGCATGACAAAACACTTCAGATATAAATATAGTGACTACTGGAGACAACCCAGGATATACAGTTTTTTTTTTAAATTCATTCACAGGATGTGAGCATTGCTAGCTGGGCCAGAATTTATTGCCCATCTCTAGTTGCCCTTGTCCTTCCAGATGGCAGCATTTATGGAGCAAAAACAGAAGTTGCTGGAAAAGCTCAGCAGGTCTGGCAGCATCTGTGAAGAAAAAAATCAGTGTTAACATTTCGGGTCCAGTGACCTTTCCTCAGAATGGAAGGGTTCTAAGGTTATGTGGAAGGGTCACTGGACCTGAAGAGTTAACATAGATTTTTTTTTTTCTTCACAGATGCTGCCGGACCTGCTGAGCTTTTTCAACAACTTCTGTTTTTGTTCCTGATTTACAGCATCCGCAGTTCTTTGAGGTTTTTATTTAGGCAGCATTTATAGGTTTGGAAAGTGCTGTCTAAGGACCCTTGGTGAATTTCTGAAGTGCATTTTATCAACGATATACACTGCTGCTATTGAGCACTGGTGGTGGATGTTTGTGGATGTAGTACAAATCAAACGGCTGCTTTGTCCTGGATATTGTCAAGCTGCTTGAGTGTTTTTGGAGCTGCACTCATTCAGGCAAATGCGGAGTATTCCATCACACTCCTAATTTGTGCCTTGTAGATAGTGGACATGCTTTGCTGAATCAGGTGGTGAGTTACTCATTGCTGAATTCCCAAAGGTACATTAGTTAATGTGAAATGTCAGGGAGGGAACCATTCTGAAAGTGCTTTCAGTACTAGAAGACTGCTGACTGACCTTTTAATGATCCCAATTAATCAGGTGGATTGACTGTGATCCATTTCACATGGTGCTTTGCAATCTTATTGTCCATTTAGAGTTTCTTTGTCTGAGAGCTGGAACAATTGTATAACATTGTCATGAGCAGTGAATTAATAGAACCCTTAAGAGTGATTTAAAATTATTGCATTATTTCCTCCAAAAACCATAAGAACAAGTCAGAAATGAACGTTAACACTTCAGGGTTGTGATGGGAGAGTGCTGCATTAGCAGCTGAGATATTAGTACACATATATCCTTTTAGGTTCAAGTAAAGATCCTAAAGTATTATTGAAAGAAGATCAATGAGTTATTCCAGATTCTGATCAATATTTACTCCTCAACCGTCCTAATCCCAGCGCCCTCCCTCGTGCTCTCTCTCACACACAAAACACACGCACACAAATTTGTTATTTATGGCTTGGAGAGCAGAATTTGACAGTTGTATTTTCCCCGCATTATGATGACTGATCTTAAAGATGGATCCATTAATGAGAAGGTGCTTTGAGAAATAGTCAGATTGTGCTGAAACACTATTTAAATTAAGGTTCTTTCCCTCTGATTTGTCAACTTCTTCTTGCAGCTCATGATTGTGAAGCAAGACGACAAAATGGAGCTGCTGTTCAAACACTTCCTCATGGAGGATAAGAGTGTGAATGGTGGAGCCTCATACGTGGACTTTCTCTGCCACATGCACAAAGAGATTCGACAGCTACTCAGCTAAACCTGGGGAGATGAACAGGGGAGTGTGGGGTTTGGGTGGGGCGAGCTGTTTACAAGACAAGAGCTGCTTCCCAATGGGCCCAATAATCTTGAGGTGTAAACAAGGGCCCTGTTTGTCAGGAGCTGCCACAGAGGCAACATGGGCATGTGGCTAACTTGTTAATACTGATGTAATGTAAGGAATTAATAGTACAGTATAATGTATATGATTTAGAATCTTATATGAGAGCTATCTTTTCAACACTGGTATTGCTGTGTTCCTTGTGTATGAGGAGATGAAAAGAGAACTGCACTGAGTGTGATTGGATGTATGAAAGAGCAAGCTCCTGATACACAAGCTTTCAATTCAATAAATTGAACGAAATCCAGTTTGTGGCTTTGCTAACATGGTTCGACTTTCTGGAAATTATTTTTATACACATCTGAAATAATCATTTCATGTTGTACAACAGCCTTTTTTTGGTTCTCTGTTAATTAGGTCTTTAAATGTCAATAGGTTTGTGAATGAAAAATAAGCTATCTTATTCACTCAAACTTGTGTGAATGCTTAACGTTTCTAATGATTAATTTCTCTGCTGGACTTCCTTGCAGATTCAAGGTGAAAGCATCTGACTCACATCAAGGGCTTTGGGGGTGGGAGAGGGTTTTTAAACATTTGCGAAATGTCAGTATTTTTGCGTTTCTGATTTTATTACCTGATCAGCGAAGGGAGTGTGTCATCTCAAACTGCTCTATTCAAAGTCACTGACCTCTTCTTCAGTCCCACACTGTAAGTTAGAATCCTGAGAATTATCCAACCAAAGGCATTAAACCCCAGAAGGAATGGCATAATTTAATCCTTCCTTGTGTCATCAACCTTATGTTTTGATTGTAAGCTTTGGTGATTATAAGACTTTGGGATTTGATGCCACCCTTGGAAAAAGGAGTATATTACTGCTATTGTACCTAATACAAGTGAGATGAATAGTGGTGATATGGAGTCATTATGCGCATTTCCCTAACCTCCTTTTTCTTCCCCCAGATAAACTTTGTATTTGCCAATTCCTGTTTATTGAATTGGGTTTCCATGCTGATTTTTTTTTTTTTGCAGCCTGCTGTAAAAGGAAAACAATGTGCTGTTGTAAACGGGACATTAATTTTTGATGCAATAAATACACTTCTTTCCAAATGTCTCCTCAGAGCTGCCCTCCAGTTTCTAATTCAATCTTATTATAGTGCATCTGAAGTGGAGAGATTCACATTTATCTAGCAGTCCTGGTGACAACATTCTTGAATGGATTACATATTTATGAAGAGGTCCAATCTGTAACTCTGTTTGGAATTTGCTGTTATCAAAGTCCTGCATACCAGGATATTGCAGATTCATTTCCTAACTCGCCAAATCTTTGGTGGTCCATTTACTTTGAAATGAACGTTGTTGTGTTATGTTGTCGATGGAGTTTGAATTTGAACTGGACCCTTGGTTTCTGAGAGTTAAGCAATGCAAATGCTCTTTAATATTTTATTTCAACATCCTGCAAGTTTCTTCTCAATTTGAAGTATGATAAACAAAGTTGATCACCTTGTCAGCCAGTATGAATAGTCAGGGTTTTTAGACTTTCCAATCCTGACCAGCTCCAAATTTCTGGTGTTATTGTTGAGCAGGGAAGTGAAGGAAGAGCAACCAACTTCAGAAAAGTCATTATTTTCAACAGTTTGTTGCCGGGTCTCAGAGTTCTGGCAAAACTGTACGGAGAGGGAAGGGACTTGAATTTTGTACATTTCTGTTTATAAAGGACTGTTGTAATGGTTGTCTGCCCCCGCATGTGGTCATTGCAGGATGATGGAGCTATTTCAATTGAGTATGGTATCTGGCTGTTTTTGTAAATCAGACCAGTCTATGATTTATTATATTGCTGTGCACATCCCAGTAGGATGGATGTTCCTAATGGCACTTACACCCATACTATGCCTGGTTCTGGATTTTCTATCCAGTTAAATGATAGATTCTCCAGTCAACATGTAGCAGCAGTTTTATGCAGCTGGCAGTTCAGTCAGTCCTCTCACTTTCTCAGGAGAGAGTTGGGATTTGGTTGGGGAGTGGGGGAGTCGAGTTGGAATCTAAAAAGAGACAGGAATAAAGCTCAGGAGTTTCAAATGACTCACTTCACTCACTCCATCGATTGTGTTGCTGATGCCCCAAGCCCCTGGTTGAAGCTACCAGCCACAGGTTGAGAGTCATACAGTCATAGAGTACAGCTGAGGCCCTTTGGCCCATTGAGTCTGTACCACCAAAAATACACCAAATCTGCACTGTTCTATTTTCCAGCATCTTGGGATCTGTCTAAGAGATGTTCTGCTCATTCTGCCATCTTCTTGCGGTCATAACATTAAAAAAACACCACCCTGCTGGCAAAGTCTTCTGTTATGTTCTTGCCAACTTCCAACATTATAAATTCCCATCCTCGTCATTTAAGATGGGATTTTCCTATGTAAACTTGTAGTTATTATTAATAGTACATGCAAAGGTACTTGGGATTGGGAGGTTGGGGAGGTGCTGGCCTTTTGGCCCCTCAACACTGTTCACCCAGTCAATCAGATCAGCCATGATCATATTGTGGTCTCTCTCTCTACTTTCCTATTTGAAAACCTGGACATAAAGCATGCACAAAAAATCCCAGACGAAATCAGATTTCAGAATCTATCAAAAATTCCCCAGACTGCCTTGTCTGTCAAGAATTTATCTAACTCACCCTTGAACTAATTCAATGACACAGCCCCCTCTGTTGTTTGAGGCTAAAATCCTCCAGAAAAGAAATCTCGTTGCCGTATTAAATAGTGATTAATCTGCATTCCTTAGTTCTTGCCTGTTGTACAAGAGGAAGCATTGTTTCAACATTCACTCCCAAATCCTTTTCAATTCTTATGTTGCAATAAGATCACCAGTCACCCTGACAAACCTGACCTGTCCCACCTTAGCTTGCCCCAACCTCTCACCCCCAACTAAAGAAAAACAAGCATCAGTTGCGTGAACATTCTCTGAACCAACAATGCTGTCATGGCCAAAGACAAAGTTGCTGGAAAAGCTCAGCAGGTCTGGCAGCATCTGTGAAAGAGAAAACAGAGTTAACGTTTTGGGTATGGTGACCCTTCCTCAGAACTGATGGTGGCTGGGAAAACGTAAGTTTATATGCAGAAAATAGGGACGTGGGTGGGATAGGGAGTAAATGATAGGATAGAGTCCAAAGAGAGAGAAAAAGACAGTTGGACAGACAAAGGAGTTGATAACGATCAGGCTGGGAGGGTGAATAGTTGTTCATGGAGACTGTTAGTGACTAACAACGGGGTGTGTAATGGCAGGCTATGTGGTAATAAGGCCTGATGTATTGGGTATGGGACTGGGACATGGGAGAGTTTAGGCCTTAAATATTGAACTCAATATTGAGCCCGGAGGGATGCTGAAAAATAGAACAGTGCAAATTTGGTGTATTTTTGGTGGTACAGACTCAGTGGGCCAAAGGGCCTCAGCTGTAGGGTCCCCAAGCGGAAAATGAGGTGTTGTTCCTCCAGCTTGTGTTGGGCTTCGCTGGAACACTGTAGCAAGCCAGAGACACAGATGTTGGCCAGGGAGCAGGGTGGTGTGTTAAAGTGGCAGGCAACAGGTAATCCAGGGTCTGGTCTGCGAGCAGAACATAGATGTTCTGCAAAGCAGTCGCCAAGTCTACGCTTCATTTCCCAAATGTAGAGGAGACCACATTGAGAGCAGCGAATGCAGTAGACTAGATTCTGGGAAGTGCAAGTGAAGTGTTGCTTCACCTGGAAGGTATGTTTGGGCCCGTAGATACTGAGATTGGAGGAAGTAAATGGGCAGGTGTTGCACCTTTGCCGGTTACAGGGGAAGGTGCCGTGGGGCTGTTGGGTTTTTGGGGGTGAAGGAAGTGTGGACCAGGCTGTCCCGGAGAGAACGGTCCCTGCAAAAGGCGGACTAGGGATGGGAGGGGAATATGTGTCTGGAGGTGGCAGAAATGGCGGCTGATGAACTTCTGGGTGTGGATGCTGATGGGGTGGTAGGTGAGGATAAGGGGAACCCTATCGCTGTTGCAGGAGGGAAGAGAAGGGGTGAGGGTGGAAGTGCAGGAGATGGGTTGGACTTGGTTGAGGACCCTGTCGACAACGGAGCTGGGGAATCCTCACTTGAGGAAGAAGGTGGACGTTTCGGATGCTCCTTGTCGAAGTTGGCCTCGTCTGAATATGTGCGATGGAGATGGTCATTTGTCATGGCCGTTTGTGTTTCATTTACCAAAACTCCCAAATCCCTCTGAACGCTGCAGTGTTTCCCCATTGAAATAAAATGCTGCTTTTATATTCTTTCTGCCAGTGTTCAGATTTAGAATTCTTTAGAGGAGGTAACAAGCAAATTAGACAAAGGAGAGTTAGTGGATGTGATGTACTTGGATTTCCAGAAGGCCTTTGAGAAGCTGCTGCAGAGGAAGTTCCTAAATAAGACATGAGCCCATGGTGTTAGCCACAAGGTACTGGCATAAAGAATTAAGGGGTCTTTTCAGGATGGCGATTGGCAACTAGTGGAGTTCTGCAGAGGTCAGTGTTGGGACCATAACTACTCATGGTATACATTAATGATCTGGACAGAGGGCCTGAGGGCATTGTTGCTACATTTGCACAGACACAAAGATAGGTGGAGGGACAGGTAGTTTTGAGGAAGCACAGAAGGACTTGGATATGCTAGGTGAATGGACAAAGAAGTGGCAAAATGTGAGTTTTGCATTTCGGTGGGCAGAATAGGGGCATAGACTTTTTGTATACGAGGAAAGGCTTCAGAAATCTGAAGCACAAAGGCATTTAGCAATCCTAGTTCAGGATTTTGTTACAGTCAACATTCAGAGATGTTCAGTTGGTGGTTAAGAAAGCAAATACATTGTTGACATTCATTTCCAGAGGGTTAGAAAACAAGAACAGAGATGTACTGCTGAGGCTGTATAAGGCTTTGGTCAGACCATATTAAGAATATTGAGAGCAGTTTTGGGCCCTGTACCTAAAGAAAGATGTGCTGGGGTTGGCGCAGGTCTAGAGGAAGTTTACAAGAATGATCCCAGGGATGAAGGGCTTGTTGTATGAGAAGTGGTTGAGGACTCTGGGTCTGTACTCAATGGTGATTAGAAGGATGAAGGGAGGATCTAATTGAAACTTACAGAATACTGAGAGGCCTGGATAGAGTGGATGTCGAGATGTTTCCATTAGTAGGAGGGACTAGGACCTGAGGGCACAGCCTCAGTGAAGTGTCAACCGTTTCGAATTGAGATGAGGAGAAGTTTCTTCAGCCAGAGGGTGGTTACTCTGTGGAACTTGTCACAGAAGTCTGTGGAGGACAAGTCATTGAGTGTACTTAAGACAGAGGGACATTCTTGATTACTAAGTGGATCATAGGTTGCAGGGAGAAGAGAGGAGAACACAGTTGAGAAACACACCAGCCATGGTCAAATAGCAGAGTGGACTTGATGAGCTGATTAGCCTAATTCTGCTCTTATATCTTAACTTTCTACATAGCTTTGTGTCATCAGCAAATTTACCTACTGTACTTTGGACCTTTTATTTAAATCATTGATGTACATTGTAAATAACAGAGGTCCTAGCACTGGTTCCTGTTAAACCCCTCAATTCATAACTTTGCTGTGTAATGGGACAGAAATATCTTGTAAAGTGACAGTCATCAGTCTGGGATGTGCAGCATAGTTGTCATAATGAACCTGGATATCCTGTAAATCAGTCCACCCTTCTGCCAGTTTGTTCCATAAAATCAGATCTGACTCCTTCCAGTGTGTTGAGCTAGTCTGAAATCAGGGGCATTATATTTGATCTTATCCTAACACTCAACAAGTTCCTTTCATCAATAGGAACAATCCTGGAGTGAGATCCTGCATTTGCAGAATTGGAACAGAGATAGTAGGAACTGCAGATGTTGGAGAACCTGACATAACAAGGTGTGGAGCTGGATGAACACATTTCCTATCGCAGAAATTTCTGAAGAAGGGTCTAGGCCCGAAATGTCAGCCTTCCTGCTCCTCTGATGCTGCTTGGCCTGCCGTGTTCATCCAGCTCTGCACCTTGTTATCTCTATTTGCAGAATTGGAGCTTTGCAGCTGATGGATAGACACAGTCTTCTTATTGATCCTGA